TTGCCCTTTGAGTTTATATTCGATGTTTTTTTTAAGCAAATTGGTCAACCTCATCAGCGAACGTGATGTTAATCTGCAAGCAAATAAAAGAACATTTTTTTAGAACTAGTACTGATTATTAACTTTGATATTAGCAATATTACCTGATCAACATTACAGCAGACTTCATTATCGCCGCACTCTACCATACGGTATTGTACTCTTCTATCGGCCATGCAGTATTGTCGAGCCACACATTGACTTTGCCCATCATCGCCGCAAAAGCGAATGGAATGTGCTCGTCCCATGCCCAGGAAGGCAGACAGGACGATCAGGACAGCGAAAATCCAGCTTGGTGACATTGTGCAAAGTGGAATCAAAATTGAGACTGAATCGAAGAGCGGCTGGGAGTGGTATTTATACCCAGCCTTATCAGCCGTATGTCATTATTACAGCTTTTCCCAGGAATGGGATCTTGTTCTGGGAAAGCTTAAAGAAAGAAAAGCACTTATGAGATGACTTCTTAATGCATTTACTAAGAGTTAACCTTGTTTTAAGCTCAGATTCGTTTAGACGTACAGCCAAGTGAAATAACTAATAAAAACAATTGCATATTACGGGGAAATTGAACTTTAATTTTTAATCTTCGAAGAAATCTTTATAGTTTTTTTTTTTTTTCATTAGTTAATATTAAATATCATTAATTCTTCAAAATTTCTTTGATTTCCTTATTATATTTTTTTCTGCTAAACTGTAAAAGGCAAAGAAACCGGGAAACCCTTGCAGTTTGAAATTTTATCTAGTTGGTCTAATTTGAAATCTATCATACGAAAGCAAATAAATAATAATAAATAGACAAAACATTGTTTGGTGTGGGCATATAAAAATTAAGATAACTAAGGGCAGGTGTGGTCACACGCCCTATCAATCAATCACAATATTTCTATAGACTTCCGGGGTATTATAGTTTTAATCAAAAATTTTCAAAATTTGTTAAGTGGTTTCTACGTAAATTTACTCAAAAATTGGCAAAAATTTGAAGTTCTTAAATTTGTAAATTTAGTATGCAGATTTATTAACCTGTTAAAACCGAGCAAGAACAGCTTTCCGAATAAAAATTATGTATTTTTGGCTTAGTTATTCTTTTTTAATATTTAATTTACCCAAAAATTAACATATCAAATTATGGATAAATATTTACATTTTAATATTCCTTTAACGGTTTTAAGGCTTCAGTCAGAGGCTAGTAACGCAGTGAAATGATAATTATAATGAAAAATAAAACTAAAAAAAATATATAACTCCCTTTCTTGTTAAGTGTGCATTTTGGTTTGAATATATTCAAAATTCTAATTTAAATTAATCCTGTTTATGGCTTAACATACGAATTACAAACCTAAAATGCCTTTTTTAATTATTATTTTTATTAATTTAACAGTAATGTTGGGGAAAACCCATTCACTTGTTTTTTAACAAACAAAATAACCTTATTTTTAATCCCCCATGCCCGAACTCATTAAAATACATTTAAATACATTTTAAAATATTTATTTTTCCATAAAATACAATTCAATAAATTGTAAAATATTTATTATTTATTTTTTTATAAGGCTAAAGTTCCTTGCCTTTTGAGTTTATATTCGATGTTTTTTTTAAGCAAATCGGTCAACCTCATCAGCGGACGTGTTGTTAATCTGCAAGCATATAAAAGAACATTTTTTTAGAACTAGTACTGATTATTACCTTTAATATTAGCAATATTACCTGATCAACATTACAACAGACTTCATTATCGCCGCACTCTACCATACGGGATTGTACTCTTCTATCGGCCATGCAGTATTGTCGAGCCACACACTGACTTTTCCCATCATCGCCGCAAAAGCGAATGGAATGTGCTCGTCCCATGCCCAGGAAGGCAGACAGGACGATCAGGACAGCGAAAATCCAGCTTGGTGACATTGTGCAAAGTGGAATCAAAATTGAGACTGAATCGAAGAGCGGCTGGGAGTGGTATTTATACCCAGCCTTATCAGTCTTAATGTCATGGGGTCAGTTAGCACCAAGAAGAGGCTATAAAATCAGGGTCGATGGGTCAGAAGCATTTCCAAGAAAAAGCTAGCGTTTTGTTATGATCTTCGTCTTGAGTTGAGTTTTCTCTTTCTACAACAACTTCCAGAAAGAAAGAAAAAGCTAATAAGATTTTCAATATTTAAGAGAAAGCCAGTACATTTTGTTTTTTTATTTGTCTCATGACCATAAGAATGTATTTTTATTCGCTTAATTAAGTAATGACAATATGAAAATGACAAAGAATTAATGAAACATTTAACGATGGGTAAATGATGATTTTAGAAACAGCGGCTAGCACATGCGATAAAGCATCTTGCGCTGCATCCTGTGCTGCAGTTCACCGCGTCGAATCATGGTGTGGATCACCTTCATAACCGTACGCTCCTCGTACTGCTGTCGCAAGAAGTCCTGAAAGATGAAAAGCATAGTTAACAGCGGCCAAAATAAAAGATTTTCTGACTTTACCTGAAGAATATTCTGCTCGGAGACCTGGGAGCCAATGGCAAAGCGACGCTTCAGCTGCTTCTCAATGCGGTTCAGCTTGTCCTGGTCTTCCTCCGTGGTGAATCCCTCGGCGCCAGCCAAGCTACCTGTTGTGGCAGCGTCCAAGGTCGACACTTGGAAGAGGCGAAGCGCCTCGTTCACGTGCTCGTCGGTGGCAAAGGGCTGCAGGCGTATCTTGGCCAGCGACTCGGAGATGCGGATGACGGCCTCCAGTTGCCGCACGGTGATCGGAATGCTCATGCGCTTGTCAGCGCTCTTCTCCTGTTGACCAGCACCGCTGCGCATGAGGACATAGCGGCTCTTCAGCTTCTCGCCGGCTGCCTCGCTCAGCCGCGGGCCGCAGTGGGTGCGGCAGTAGTGGATGTATTTCTTGAACGTGGACAGCGAGATCTCGCCCTCGGCCAGCTCCGTGGGCGCCGACTTGTTCGAGCTTAGATGCACGTTGATGATGTGCTTGGCCAGGACGATATCCCGCGTCTCATTGTGCACGTCCTTGACAATGAAGATCATGTCGAAACGGGACAGGATCGTGGGCATAAAATCAATGTTCTCCTCGCCCTTGGTCTCGTCCCATCGACCGAAGATGGAGTTGGCCGCCGCCAGGACCGAGCAGCGCGAGTTCAAGGTGGTCGTGATGCCGGCCTTGGCGATCGATATGGTCTGCTGTTCCATGGCCTCGTGGATGGCCACGCGATCGTCCTCGCGCATCTTGTCGAACTCATCGATGCAGACGACGCCGCCGTCGGCCAGCACCATGGCGCCGCCCTCCATCACAAAATTGCGCGTCTGGGGATCCTTCATTACGGAAGCCGTCAGACCGGCGGCGCTGGATCCCTTGCCCGAGGTGTACACGGCAATGGGCGCCACCTTTTCCACGAACTTGAGCAGCTGCGACTTGGCAGTGCCGGGATCGCCCAGCAGCAGCACGTTGATGTCGCCACGACGGCACAGTCCGTCGGGCAGTCGCTTCCGGGAGCCCCCGAAGAGCATGCATGTGATGGCCTTCTTGATGTCCCGCGATCCAAAGATGCTGGGCGCCAGCGACTGCGAGAGACGATCGTAGATATCATCGGAGGCGGCCAAGCGCCGGAAGTGCTCTTCCTCGTCGCTGGTTATGTTGCTGTAGCGGGAAATGGCGCCGGCGCCCTCAGAGTCCACGGAGATGCCCACCACGCGCATATATGGTGCGCGGACACCCACGACGGCCTTCTCACGTCCCTCCCGGCGCGAAGGTTTGCCCACCTTGCGGATGGAGTAGATGCCCTGGATGAGCACCCGGTTGCCGGGCACGACGCGCTCACAGAGCGAGCGATCGCAGAAGAGCTGCAGGTGACGGGGAATCTCGCCCTGCGGCACAAAGTCGGGCAGCTCCTGCAGCTTCAGAGTCTGGAAATCGACGCACTTGCACTTGTCCGGCATGATGAAGAAGGGATCGAGCGGGCACTTGGGCCTGCCCGCCTGCTCCGTGGTGCATTTGCGGGGCAGGGCGTAGCCCTCAAGGCCGGGGTTCACCTTCAGATTGGGAATGACTGTGCTGCACGACTGGCACATGATGGACATGCGCGTGGCCTTGGCACTGATCCCCGAGGCGGCCGTTATGATGCCGGCGATCTTGACCAGCTTGGAAACGCAGTCGGACTTCAGCTCGCGAATGTTGGTGGGATTGGCATTGGAGCTGAGCAGGATCTGGATGTCTTGCATCTGCTCTTCATGCTCTGGCCGCGGTGCTGTTATCTCGTCGGCCACTTCCCGAGCGGCCTCCTCGAAGATCTGCAAGTGCTCCGTCGGCTGCTTATTCAGCTTGTCCCCCAAGGTCTCATCGAAGCCCACCAGATCCTCCATCTCGATCTCCAGGAAGTAGCGGCCATTAAGGTAGTTTCTCTTCAGGGTGTCGCTGCAGGAGGAAGATCTTCCGTTACGGTTGAACCAGGGCGGGAAAAGGACGCTCACTCACCGGTATTTGTAATAGAAGTTCTCCTCGTTGAAGGTGCGGATGAACTCCTTGTACTTCTTCTTCACCGCCTGCAGATTGATCTGCGCATCCGGCTGATTGTCGTTGCCGAAATTGTCCGAGAAGAACACACCAGCATCGTCGAAGCCCTCCATTTCAGCCGGTTGATAGTAATAATAATTTAATCAAGATAAATTTGTGTATAAAGGTAACTTTTGCGTCGCTTTCTTCTGTTTGATGCTTCGGTGGTGTGCGATTCGTTGCCGCCAAAATTGCGGCAGTGTGGCTGTTTACAGAACGCGAAAGTAAACCAAAAAATACCAGAAAATGTTACTTGTGGAATTCAGTCACGGGAACGATATTTAAACAATTCTTTAAATTAAATCGCAGAAAATATTTTATACAAACTATATTATAATCGTCCCGAAAAAGTAGCCCAGCAATAATAGAATATATATCGAAGTTTTCAGTTTAAAATTATTTGCTTTTGCGCATAAAAATTCGACCCCCGGTCACAACACTGTCGGGGCCAGTGTTGAAAAGCTACTTTTTAAACTAGCGTGCTGTAGGAATATTCCATTTTTTTAGTCGCTACCTTTTTCGACGTGAAAAACCAAAGAGACGCCGGAAAAATCAGAAATGGTGAGTTTCACGCACGCTTTCCCCTGCCTCGAGGGCCCACACGCTGACCGAGCACTCTCCACAGGCCAGCACAGACATCCCGATGGAGGCAGCCGTGGAAACGGCTACCGGCCTCACGCCCAATTCAAACAATGTGCTGAAGAAGGTGCCCGCCAGCGCCGGACCCGGAACGGGCGAGGAGGCGTCCGCCGCCAATGAGATGACGTCCCGCGATTACTACTTCGACTCGTACGCCCACTTTGGCATCCACGAGGAGATGCTGAAGGACGAGGTGCGGACCGTCACATACCGCAACGCCATGTACCACAATAAGCATCTGTTCCAGGGCAAGGTGAGATTACTATTTGTGCGACACTGTTTGGCTGTCCTACGACTGGGGGATTTTCTCGTTGCAGACCGTCTTGGACGTGGGCTGCGGCACCGGTATCCTGTCCATGTTCGCCGCCAAGGCCGGCGCCGCCCAGGTCATTGCCGTTGACTGCTCCAATATCATTGAGTTCGCCCGCCAAGTGGTCATAGACAACAACTTGCAGGACGTCATAAAGGTGGTCAAGGGCAAGATCGAGGAGATAGAACTACCCAATGGTATTGAGGGCGTGGACATTATCATATCCGAGTGGATGGGGTAGGTTTTGGGGTCCCGCAGCACAAAATTGCGGGTCTAATGGCCTCGTTTAATCCCCCAGATACTGCCTCTTTTACGAGTCCATGTTGGACACAGTGCTGTACGCGCGCGACAAGTGGCTCAAGCCCAACGGTATGATGTTCCCGGACCGGGGCACACTATACATCACTGCCATCGAGGATAGGCAGTACAAGGACGAGAAGATCAACTGGTGGGACGATGTGTATGGCTTCGACATGAGCTGCATCCGCAAGGTGGCCGTGACCGAGCCGCTGGTCGATGTGGTGGATCCCAAGCAAGTGGTGTCCACGTCCTGCATGGTCAAGGAGGTGGACCTCTACACCGTGCAGAAGGCGGATCTCAACTTCTCGTCCAAGTTCAGCCTGATCATCAAGCGCAACGACTTCGTGCAGGCACTAGTCACCTACTTCAACATCGAGTTCACCAAGTGCCACAAGCGACTTGGGTTCAGCACGTCGCCCGACTCCACGTACACGCACTGGAAGCAGACGGTGTTCTACCTGGACGATCACATGACGGCCAAGAAGAACGAGGAGATAACCGGGACGTTCCAAATGAAGCCCAACGAGCGGAACAACCGCGACCTGGACTTTGTCATCGACATTAATTTCAAGGGGGAGCTGTCGGAGATCCAGGAATCGAACACATACCGCATGCGCTAGGGGCTCAGAGCCCTCTGCCTCCGGAAAGGATATAAACAATGACTAGACCTAAGGTTTATTCCAGTGCGAAAATGTGCAACGCCAACGAATCTGTGTTGCCGCGTCTTCTCTCTCCCCTAAGTTTAAAGTGTGTACCTTTGTTAGTATACCTAATATTTTTACAACTGTGCGCCTGTTTAAATTATTATTCGAACATACTTCTAAGGAAAGTTGTACAGTAGCACGTCAATTCTCATCATAAATAAACTGTGCCTCGCAGCACTTCCCCCTTTTTGCCGGAAAAGAATCGCCTTCTGCGCTCTGTTTGTGGGTGTTTATTTCGTAGTAAATCAAAAAAAAATAAGATGAAATTTGAAGCATGCATCGAAAGGTTTCTATATTGTCATCTGAAGTCAAGTTACTTACATCGCAATCGGTGCGGCAGATGGCTTCGATTGCGAAATGGCTTAAGTGGTATCCTTTTGGGAATATGTTTGCATTTCCGTATTTTATGTAAATTTAATGACGGTCGCGGGAGTCCGATCGACTTCGGCGATCGCGCGAGAAGCTGCGGCTGCGGGGCGAACGGGAGCGACGTGGCGAGCGGGACCTGCAATTGATAGGGGGCCAAAAAACAAAGGGTATGATTTATTACTTGCAAATTAAAGACAAAAATAAAATAAGCGAGCTAAAAAATATCTACATTATAATATGTTTTGCTCTTCTATGCTTGCTCTTGGAGGCTCCAAAGAAATCATATTTCTTTTTAATAGAAATTGCAATTTAACCAAGTGAATTCTAATCTTAATAAAGCTTTGATTTCCATTCCTTAGTTGTAATAGCATTTTACTGTAATGGACAGGTTAACAGGACTTAAAAAGGACTTGTTGGACTTGTCCGTCCAACTCTAGAACTCTAATTTGTGAAAATGTCTTCCTAAACTGGTTTAATCAAGATTAGAATTAGAAGCCACTTTGAGAATCAGTTTAAATAAAATTAAGAATCGTTAGCAATTATGTCACGGATACGCAGGATAACTTCATTAGTAGAACTCTATCGGCGACTGCAATGCTTCTTCTACGATGATTATTAGATTTGGTTTCCTAATCTCTGTCAGGCTGAGGCTGAGGCTGTGCTGCCGCTGAACTTGATTAATTTAGAGTTGAGAGTCGAAGGAGGTGGCTGGCTGTGGGCTGTGAAGATGGTTGCTGTTGTAGATTGCTGATGTTGTAGAAGGAAGAAGTAGCAGTAGTGGAAGTAGTTCTAGCCGAAGGAGTTATCCTGAAAAAGTGTCGATAACTCGAGTTTAACAAACACCAAAGGCTCAAAATAAGGTATGTAGAGATAAAATATTTATATAAACGGAATGTACGTAAGTCCGAAGGTGGGTCAGGATCGGTTCGGATCCATCAATTGGATATTTGTAACGTGGCAGCCAAAGTCTGAAGGTCAGCATTTTGCGCTGGACAAAACAAGCGTGGGAAAACATGCTTTGCGGCAAGACAATTTCCCCTCACAGCTCGTCTTATGCAGGCCAACACCGACCTCATGACAACAGATAACAGAGAAAAAAAAAACGGCGGGAAAAGTTTTTGGACTTTAAGGAATGATATACCTGTAGCGCCCGGATCCAGAGCGTCCGCCTCCTCCACCGCCACTGCTGCCACCTTCGCCGCGTCGGCGATCGCGAGAACGTCCCGATGACATCTCCACGCGGATCCTAGTACCGCAGCAGCGGGTTCCGTCCAGCGCTCTGGTCGCATCTTCGGCGTCCCGTCGATCCTCAAACTCGACGAATGCAAAGCCCGGCGGATTGCGCGCCACCCAGACGTTTCGCAGTGGTCCGTATTTGGCGAAGGCTCCCTCAATCTCGTACTTGGATGCCGAGGAGCCCAGGTTGCCCACATAAACCTTGCAGGCTAGATCCCACTCCCTATAGCGCGGCATGTTGTCGGTGACTTTTGCGGTGGAACGTAAGCGGCTAAAAAAAATAGGTAGCGTGTTACGGCGTGTGCAGCGCAGAAGAATGTCATCCCTTTTCTCGCCCTGGAAATCCACCTACCTGTTAAAATTTAACTATTTTTCCTTGCAATTTTTCACAAAACCGTATGGACAGATCGACCAGTGTGGCAGCAGGCTTATCAATCAAATATACCGTCCGGCACTGAACTTGTCATTCCTCTTGCCTTGGAAATATACCAAATAATAACTTTAAAGTTAATATAAGTGTTATAATTAATATTATTCTATGAGGATTTTATAGATAGCACTTTATTAAAAATTAATTAAATAAAAAAAAGAGTAAACAAATTAACGATAACGATAGCAGCAATTTTCGGTATTTTTGAGGTTTTGGTCACTCTGAACTTTATCTTGTTTTGGTTTTAGGTTTTTGTAAACATTACTCAAAACTTGCAATAAAGGCTAATTTACGAGCCTACTACAAAATAGAAGAACCTCTCAAGACTCTTAAACACTTGTATCATTTTACGGGCCTCCAATTTGCACGTAAGTATATCATAACACTACTTAAACAAGTGCTGACGTTACACATCATTCAGAATAATGTTCAGAAAGTCCAAGCCCAAAATTGAACCCCCACCACCCACGCCCAGTGTGGAGGAGATGTTTGAGGATCTGAAAACCTTTGAAATCAATCAAACGTCTATTTCCAACGCCACCGACGGTTTCGATTTGGAGCAGGCCCTTCTGACGGAATCCGCCGATTCTCTTACACTTCCAACGTGGTGGAAGGTTTTCGACGAGTATGAACGAAAAGTGAAGAAACTGGCGGCCTCCGAGGAGGATCTGGAGCACCACAGGATTCAACTGCAAGAGTGCCGTGACAAACTGGGGAAAAATGCCAACGCATTGAGGGAGGGCATCAAAAAGCAACAGGCGATGGCCAAAGAAGCTTTAAATGTTAACTAGGATACTAAGAAATATAATTTATGCAATGCAAACTGCCGAGTATATTAAGTTGTCCTTATATTTCTTAATTTTTTATTTATTTGCACCTCGTGAGTACATAGTAGTCCATCTCTGTCTGCCTATCGATAACAGCAGGTCAAACAGCAAGTCACGTCGCGCAATCGATGTAAACAAATAATCGAGCACTATAAACAACAACTCCCACAATACAATTACAATCCCATCCCGGCCGGCGTTATTGATAATCAAACGAAGCATTTCCTCACACGTCAATAAAGGTGAGTTTTTGGCCAGCCCAGTTGTCCCAGCTTCAGATACCGAGCATACGACTCCTTGCAGGATGGATAAGCGTGTCACAGTCCTGCTGCCCAACGCCCGGCGGCAGAATGTGAGCGTTACGGCGAACATGACGCTGCTGGAGATCCTGGAGACGGCCTGCGCCAAGCACGGCTACGACAGCGACGAGCACTGCCTGAAGTTCCATAACAAGGTGGTCAGTCTGACGCAGCAGTTCCGCTTCAGCGGCCTGCCCAACAACTGTGTCCTGGAGATGGAGCCCACGGAGAAGCGGCGCGTGCTGAGCAGCGTCGTCGTCTGTGTCCAACTGAGCGACGGATCCCGGGAGCAGGGCGACTTCTCTCCCAACGACACCGTGTGGCAGGTGGTCCAGAAGCTGTGCGAGACCCAGGTGCTGGGCTACGAGAGTCCCATCATTGTCTACATGCGCAGTGAGGTCATTGGCCAGGAGAAGATGCAGGAGACGACCCTCAAGTCACTGGGCATCCTGGAGGGACGCGCCATGATGCGCCTTATTGACAAGAAGCCGGAGGAGCTAAAGACGCAGGCCAATGTATACAAGCCGCCGGAGGTGAAGCCCAAGTCCAGGGCCGATGACGACGACCAGCCGAGCACCTCGCGCTCGGCCATGGCGGCTGGTGGCCACGGAGGCGGCGGTTTTTCCCTAACCAGCAACATGATCAAGAGCCTGAAGCGCACTGCACCCGATGAACAAGCCACCGCTGCGAACGACAAGGCTGAGCCCTCCGGAAAAGCCGAGACGGAAAAGGAGCCAGAGCCGCAGGCTGCTCCAAAATACGACTGGGGAAGTGGATCCGGCTACTCCCTTGCCCACCGACAGCAGCGGCAAAATCAGCTGGAAAGCAACGAGGGCGAGGACAATCCCGGCCGACCACCGCCGGTGGTTAATGTGATTGGGCCCCGCCAGGCGGTGCTCTTCTCCCTGGACGAGACCAAGAAACAAGCGGACGATCTGCCGGACTCATTTTTCGACCTGACCGTGAATGACCTTAAGATGGTGCTGCGCGACTTGAAGCGCACTTCTACCGGGGACGACGACGCCCCGTTGCTGACGGCCAAGCTAAGGGAGCTGGAGCGCCAGAAGACCATGCTGGCGAAGCTGAATCAGTACAAGGACTGCGTGCTGCGCATCCAGTTCCCCGATCGCTTCGTCCTCCAAGGCATCTTCAAGCCCCACGAACAGCTGGCCAAAGTGGAGGAGTTTGTGCGCCAGTTCTTGGCCCAGCCCGGCGAGCAATTCCACCTCTTCACCATCCCACCGAAAAAGGTGCTGCCGTCCAGTGAGACGCTCCTCGAGCTGAACTTCGTGCCCAATGCCATTGTCCACTTCGGTTTTCTCAAGGACGGCCTCAACGCGATAAACAATCGCTTCGTACAGGAGCAATACATGGGGCAGCTGACCTCGGAGGAGGGGGCGCACTACGCGGTGCAGAAGTACCGCCTGACCCGGGCGGCATCCCCGGAGGCCAATAGGTAATAGGGAGATAAGTGGCTTTAAGCGAACAGTTGCGTGATATTTAATATGAATCCGGTTTATTTCTATAAATTTGTACAACTTTGTGATAACTTTGCCCATAAAATTATCAAATTAAATGGTTAGCTGGAGGACTTGCAAATAATATCCTAATTAGGTTTTAATCAAAACATTCTTTAGGTATCTCCCCAAGACCTGTGCCCCCTGAATCTACTAAAGTCATACAGTTTCTCCCCCAGTTTCTCCTCTTTTTGTGCGGTAATTTTGGTAAAAGAGGCTTTAAACCAGGCCTCTGCCTGATCGTCCTTCTGGTCGGCAAGGCGAAATTCGGCCAAGGCGTAGCAGTCTAGAGCAGAGAGCGCTGTTCTGAGAGATTGGTTGTATATTCTTATTATTTATTATTATTATTTTTTAACTTACTCCGGCTTGGAGTTCCCTGGCAAAGTACCAGATCTGTTCGTTGTTGGGAGGCCTTTTCTAAACCATTAGCGGTGGGCAGGAACAATCGTATCCGATGGGCTTTCTCAATGTTAATATTAATTGCTCTAAGACATGAGTGAAAAATGAAATAATAATATTAATTGCTAGTTAAAAATAAACTTGGATTAAAGGTGCCAAGAAATTAACCTTCTAGACAGCGGCCTAAATGGGACTTTGAACATTCTAGAGTTGAGGGTTTAAAGTTTGCCTCAAAGACGATTTCATGACAGAGCCTTTAACTCCATATTCTTTAATTAAAATTTAATTTCTAGGAAACTGAGAAAATTAATTGATTTTAGGGATTAGGAAGAAGAGGCTTAGTCACCCTTACTTTTCCACCAAGAGCAACTTATTTTTCAGCTTTTCCGAGTAACCATTTAGGTTCTTGAGGAGCTTATCCCTTACTCCTAGGTGTTCCGATAAATGTTTTGTGGAGTCGGCGATGGACTTTTGAGATATTTGGAAATATGCATTTCACTTGAGGAAAACATAGGCAAAAGATAAATATTTTTCTTGGTAGCTGAGAATATTTAAAATAATATGTTATGGTTTAGTTTAATTCGTTTGGCTTAGTAAAGGTATTTTTTGTTATTTTAATTAGAGAGCCGATCCTTATGAACCATGCCCTTAGGAGGTCTAAAAACATATAACTTCCTAACCCAAAAATTATAAATAATTTGTTATAAATATTATAGTTATCAGCTGGGCCAAGTACGGAGAGAGAGCCAAAGAGAGCGGCTTGCTCCCCACACTTATTGCCTGAGAGTTTCTTCGGCTAACCGCCATAGCAACTTCGAATCCGACTCCGAATCGGTCTTCAGTCGATGGCCGCGCGCCCAAGCAGCAAGTTAAGTTTCGCACCTGGCCAGGTGTTCGCGATCGTCGTCGCAGGTTGCAGTAAGTCTCCCGCTATCGCTTGGCTTTGGCAATGCAGTTCGTCTAGCCTCTAGATGATCCGCAATGCTATGGAGCCACTCGACCCAAGGCAATATATGTACATCGATGTATCGGGCTGTGTTACAAATTGAAATTAAGTCGAGTGCTTAATTTAATTAACATTGATTCGAACAGTGCTAAGTGTGTGTGCGTGTGTTTTGTAAATCGGTTTCGCGCTAATTTCGGCCAAAAGAGCGCCAGCTAACGAAATTAAAGCGTATCGAAAACAACTTTTACCTATGCTACCGCTGCCGCTGCCAGTTTCAAAACGAGGCAGAACTGTTGTTGTTGCCCGAACGTGCTCAGCCATCGCTATATAGTAGCCGCCTTGCCTTTTTCGGGGGCGTGGCACCTATGTAGTTGGCATGTGCGCAGCCGCCTCAAGCTGGCAGTGACAATAGACGGACCGAACGGCGGCGGCTGAGGAAATTATGGAGCGCTGACCAACAAACCAAACAAACTAAAGAGAAAAAATAAAAAATAAATCTAAAGAAAAAAATAAGAGCGCTGGCAATTGGAAAGTTGTTGTTATGCTCAACGGAGCAAGCGAAGGAGTTGACAAGGCGCGACACTATTTATTTTGGAAAATATATTTGAATCCGAAGCTAGGCTAAATCGGTTCAGATGGGAAAAATTATGTCTAGGAGTTGCCATACGAAAACGTTATTTTTTTATAAAATGTTAACTAGTTTGTTTAAATACTTATATAAATTATTCCTAGTCATGCACAGTATAAATAAATTCTTTTAAAATATAGGCCTCCATTAATATTTTTTTTTTTCGGTAAAGACAGCTTTGGCTTTGAACAAAAACCCTTTAAACCCTTTAGTGCATATTATATTAAAATGTGTCTATAAATCAAGAGTCTAGGCGTTTTAATTAACTTTAAAATAATTGTTGAAATTTTAATTTAGCATGCAAATAAATACAATTAAAACACTGTCGTGGATGTGGTAATACATTTAGCGTCAGGCTTTAAAAAGCAGTTAAGCTTAATACATTAAAATGTTGTTAATCATATTTTTCGCAAAAACTTTGCTAGACAATCTTAGCTCACTGAATTGCCAAAAAAGTGCTATGGTCTTAAATGTTTGTGGTTAACATTATTTATATTTGAGTGAACCAAAATGGAAGCAAATAAACGAATAGTCTGTTACAGAAACAGCTAAACTATTAAGCGATTTTGTTTGGGGAAAGGCTTTTAGTATTAAAAAACGCATTAAAAATTATATTTTACTTAAAAACTATAAATACTTTACATGGAAAATCAGCCTTAAACTATTTAAGTTTAAAATGTTTTTTGTTATTTATTTTTTTCTCAAGTAATTAGTCGCTTTTCATGCCCCTAGCCACATGCAAAATAATGTTATGTCTTCAGATATATGATAAGATTTGGATTTCGTAATTTCTTGTCATGTTGTTTCTGCCGTTAGAGTTTTGCTGTATGAAAAAACACAATTAAACATTTAGAGATATATAGAGGCTGCCGCTGCCCTCTGCCGGCGCCTACGCACTCCGCTCACGTTTATCGCACATCTCAGCCGCGTCGTGCGTCGTTACCGCCTCTGGACCGCCTCGGCCGTCTTCACTTTTACCGCTGAAAGAGAGAGTGAGAGTGTGTTTACCCCGCTCATTTGCGTTTCTTGTGCTTACCGGTTTTATATTTTATTTTCGGTATTTTCGTTTGCTTTCCCACTACCACCACCGCCGACTGCTGCCAAAATAATTGATAAAATAATAAGTTCATTAAATTTAATTAAAGCAACTATCCTCCGCTTCCGATCTGCGGCACGAGTCGCGCTAATAAAAGTTTATTGTGCTTTCCTCAGTTTTCCCTCTTTGCCGTCCCACCGATTCCCGTGAGTGTGCAGTGCAGTGTGTGTGCTTGAGTGTGTGTCTTGGATCGTAAAGAAAAATTACACGCTATACGCAGCCGACGAGGAAATTAACTAATCACAATCATTTCCGAAACGAGGGAAAGAGTGAAGAGGGGGAGCTACCGAAAATTGAAAGCAACATTCGAGCGGGAAAGAAGCTGTGGCCAAAATGAACTTTTTTGTGATTGGCTTTCTGATCATGCAGGCGGCAAGTAAGTACGAGATGCAGTTTTATATCATTTTCCAAATAATTGCTCTTCCTGTTGTTCCTGTAATTGCTTTTCACGGTTGTGTGTCGTTGATTTTGGTGTCGGACAACATTAAATGCATTCATTCCTCGGGCTAGGCAGCTGGCTGGCTGGCTTTGGAAACGAAAGACTTAGGCGACGAACTTTTCTCGGATTTCGGGTTCGTGTCTTAAGTCTTTCGTTTGAGCACAGCCGTTATCTCTTATGACACCTGGAATATGCCGTAATACTAGGCTTTTTGGGTACGAACAGGTTGGTTCTGCGTTGTGGATGTGAACGAGTAGCAGCAGCCGTAATTGGCCAATTGCTCACCCCGAAATTCAATCTAATGCAATCGCTAAAGCGCGCCAAACACAAGAGGCTTGCAATTCTATGTTTATTATAATGTCAATCATCATCAAGCTTGCACTCGGAGAAAATAGTTTACGGGAGTTGAAAATTGAATTTTTGCATTCATTTACCTGTAGTTATTTGTAAGATAAATTATTTGAAAATTTTTGCATTTTTATAATGTCAGAAAATATCTAATGTTTCATGCAAAAGGGTCAGAAATTATTATTATATTAAACCCAGTCTCACGAAACGCTGCTTTACTTCTATTTATTAATTTAAATAGAGCTATAATCGAGTCTACTCCCAATTACCTCCCCTTTTTTCATCCGTCCATCAGACAAGCATTTAAAAAATTCCAATCAATTAAAAACCATACGAAAAGTGCGCTGAACAATCTTATCTTGGCATTTGTTTATGCATATTTTTTTGTTCGTTTGATTCGAGAGGCTGCAGTTTATTGGCATCGCTTTTTATATGGATTTAGTTTCGGTTTCTTCTTTGTCTCACGCGCGATATATAAAAACCTTGCCGAGGAAACCGGATTGCTTTTGGGTTAGTCACGGTGCCCATGGCGCGGCCATTCTTGACCCGAAGTAATGTGCGGCTCATTAAGAACAGCCACATGTGTGTGTGGTATGTGGGCATATCTGGGTTGAAGGTGGCCCCCATTTAGGACTGCCACTTACCCATTTACCAATTAATCAATTTGCAAATTCGTCGGACATAAATTAGCCTCGTTTAACCTTCGTGCAGAGACTGGGCTTGCTGGATTCGGCAGATTTGCTAAATTTGGCGGAGAGTGGAACGATGTTCCGATATCGCCAAGATATGGCCAAAGGCGGACGCGGACATGTCAGAATATCGGTCAAGATCGGACCAGCAAACACGGCTTGACTGGGTGTTAATTTCGTCAATTTTCGCCGCCTAATTTCCATAAATTCGCGCGCTGGTACGTCGTCGTCTTGTTTGCTGACCTTTGTCTGAGGTCCAAAAGAGAAAAGAGATCTGCAGAGAGGAAGGAGGAACCAGCCACATTGCCCTGCCCAAGTCTTTTTCAATATTCCCATTGATGGCTTCATAAGAGCGAGCAGCAATCGTGGGCCATGATTCATCAATATCGGCATGGCGACTCACCGATTTGTAGCCCGAACTTATTGAGATGCGTTGTTTCTCTTTTATGTTTCATGTTTTCTTTTACATTTTTATTTTTATCTTTTTCTCGAGCCTCAGCTTTGTGGTCAATGACGCAGCAATTTGGTCCGAATCTCCAGTTGTTTCTGTTTCTGTGTTTTTATATAACCCACGAGAGCCACATTCCGGCCGATGTATGCCTTTATGCAATACTTCTCGGCCTGGCCTGGGCCTGGGAAGACCCTTTTCCTGGTTCGCCTAATGGCCAATAGTGCGCATACGCCCCGTACGTTTGCCAATAATAAACATAAAAACATTATAAATGCTCTTTGGCCAAATGCATGCTCTCGACGGCAATTAGCTAATGTTTTTCTTGGCTTAAGTAAACCCTTGGGCTCGAAAATGCATTTGGTGGCAATGCAACGGGGTCAGCGAGTACTTACAAAATAATAAGGCAAAGAAATTGCATTGTCATTTCAAATTGGTCAATAAGTAAAAGGCTCTTCGCGGCCGGTATTTTGCAAAGTGAAAGGCAAACAGCAAGGCATCTCTGGGTGCACTCAGGAAAACATAAATTAAAGAAGATATGTATTTAAATCAAAAAGGGAATGGGCTTCAGTGAGGCCTTAAAATAAGTTGCATGTTTGCGTCAAAACCTCCACCAAGCTTGACTAAATATCAGTCATATGAAGTAATTATTAGAAAAAAGCATGCGTGGGAATTGAATTGAGTAACAATTATTTGATAATAAATTGATACAAGAAGTATTTATAAAATTAAGCTGTATTTTTTCTACAGTTCGTAGCGATTTCCTTGAGTGTCTAAAGCCACTTCCGGCTGTGTCTATTCCCACACAAAGAGGATCCTGTCCTTTCCCTTTACCTCTAGCTCTCTTCCGCCCCGGCAGACACTTTGTAGCCCCGTTTTGTTTGCAATTAGGAATAAATTAAGGCATGATTATCACTTCCATTGTCTCCACATAACATACACACATGGTATGTCGCTTGGCACCATCTCGAGTGTGTTTTGTTTTGTGGCATTATTTCGGAGCAAAGAGCACGCAACCCGCTCACGTAAGACCTTCGCCTCGAAGATGCTGCACTGCTTTTGGGGGCATCTCATCTCCGAGAGACTCGAGACTTGCATTCCATTCCACACCTCTAGCTCTGCCGCTGTCAGCTGCTGCTGTTATTGTTAGCTTATTGTTGTTACCCACACGAGTTGGAGCCCTCCAAATTGCAATTTAATTCGATGGCTTGAAGTGGCTTTGTCAAAAGTTTTGTCAGCCGGGGCTCTTCTTTTGTTGGGCCTATCGCTCACTGTCAAGACCATCGTTCAATTAACATAATTAACCCGGCGAAGGGGGCGATTAGCGACTCGCCGTTTTAAAGCTGACACTTTGGAGATCTCCGAGACCCAATCTCCGTGTAACCCAGAGCTGTTGCCGTGCGATAATAGTTTCATTCGGACAGGGGCAAGGTCACAGCTTATAGATTGCTTATAGAATTTTATATAGACTAAAGAATTCTAGAGAAGTTTGATTTTTTACTCTAAATAAATTATAGAAATTAAATTTATAACATTTTTAAGTAAATAATGGTTTTTTACTCTAAATAAATTATAGAAAAGAAATATATACAATTTTTTAGTAATTGATATAATTACCTAATAATTTCAATTTAATTTTGGACTATGAGAACTTACGGGCCTTCTAAACTAATTTAATTTACCTTAAAACCAAAAGATTGGCTCTTTAATTTCTAAAATAAAGCTTAGATATTTGGGAAATCAAAGCAATCTCTTTCATCACATCGACAAGGTCAGGGACTGCTCATAAAAACCCCACAAAATAGGGCTTTGAATTCTCATTGTAATTGGTTTAATCGGAAAAGTGTCTGCTTAGACACTCGAACAATACAAAAAACAATCTCCTAATCTCTTAACTATGGAATTAGCTTACAAAAAAAAACTAAAGCAAGGTCAGGGTCGTCACCTGTTAAGACCTCTTATTATAGATTTCTCCTGCAAATGGCAAGGAGATTCATCCGCGTAATGAGGTAAATTAAGGAGAAATGGAAAGTTAGCTGCAGACAAAAAAAAGGGAAAAAGGGAAAGGTTGTCGCCCCAAAAGAGCCTTCGCTTCTCGCAAAAAAAAAAAAAAAAAAAAAAAATTGACAATGAGATAAAAAGAGATAAAAAGATTGACCGTAAAGCGTTTTGCCAACAATGGAATGCTCAGCCTTTAAATATGAGGGCAGAATATAAAAAGGGAAACCGCTTGGAGAGGCGTTGGTCTGGGTTAAGGTTTGGCCACGGCCTAGACCACAGATGAGAGATGTCTGATAATTAATACACGATATTTGCATTTGGGAGATCATCAAATTGAATTAACGCTCGGACGCCGCCAGCTTGGGTTTTTGTTTCAGTTTCGGTTTCAGTTTCGCTTTCAGTTTGTATTTTGTGTCAGTCTCCACACTGAGCAATTAATATCAATGTTTTTTGGAGGCGAGATGACCCACTTTCGCGGCACAGGTGCTAACTAGGCAGGGAAGCTGGCTAGCTGGCTGGATGAAGAGTGTGTGGCGTATGTCATCTTCCGAGGAAAGTAACTAGAGACACTGGTCAATGGCTTGTCTTCGTCGGCATTGCCACTGCCCCACGTGCATATTTATGCCTCATTATTTGTTTAGTTTGGATTTCTATTTGACCACGATGCCAGCCTGTCCACCGCCGCCGCCGCAACGAGATGAGGAGAGAAAGCGCTCGTCGTCGTCGTCGTCGTCGATCGCCTGTGACTAACTGCAAACTGTCGTTGGATATGTACATATATCCGGCACTCCGCTTCCTCCTCTGGCATATTGCTCTCCTCCAGCTTGCGTAGTTTTCCCTAGCTAATTGCTCGTTTCCCTTGCCATTTGCAGCCGTCATTAAAATAACTGCTCGCCCACACGGCGTATGCGTAATGCAAATCCAAGTAAAAGTTCGATTATGAGTCTATAATTTTGCCTTAATATTCAATTTGTGAAGTGACAGACAGAATGGCATTTCTGATGACGATGACGACGAGGAAGTGACCACATCGGGGGCGCTCTCTGAACTCCCACCGATGGCCAAACGTCGCCTTGCCATGCTGACACTCCATTAGGCGGGGCGCGTTAGAAAACAAGCTCAATTTTCCTTGAACTGAACCCGCAAAAAAACCGACTGTTGGACCGGACTCTGATCCGTAGCGGCTTGGCACTTAGAGAAATGTTTTTTAAACTTTTATTTTTATTATTATTAAAAGGTTTTTTAGGTGTTGGTTTTATCGCCTTCTTGGCAACATATGTCCAGAAAATGTTCTTCAACATTCTTGATATTTGTTTGGAATTAAACAAGAAAGAAAATTAACTTCGGAAAGCCGAAATTTGTATACCCTTAAACTTTACCATAGGCTCATGGCATCGGAACAAAAATCTATCATAACTAAGCCAAAAATCCATCAAATTTAATTTTGAAAGCTTTTCTGATCAACAACATATGTATATATGTAGTTTATGGGGTCGGAAATGGCTTATTCACTGCTTTCCAAACATCTAACTAAAATTGCAAGAGAATATGTAAATATTTTTGAATCTTTATCTGTTTCTATAAAAACATATAAATTCTAATCCTATATCTTATTTTATATAGGAATAAAAATACCAGTACTTATGACCCTAATTACTCAGCAATAAATAAGAGTAATCAGAAAACAATTTCACTCTTTTTCTCCCAGTGTGGTAGCTTGGGCGATTACCACAATCTGAGACATAATGGCCCGCCATTAGCCGCCTTAGAATTGGTTTCAAATGCTCGGCCCCATGAATATGGATATGGATGTGCTGCTAACGACCACGTCTATGTGGTTCAGAGGGGGAATTTTGAAAGAATCCATTCGAAACACGTATTACATGTCCCACTTGATGGGCTAACTATTTAATTTGAACCCAGAGACGCGCGCAATATTGAAGTCTCCTCCACTTTGTTCAGGTCACCGAGTGCCAAGAGGTGCTCTCCATAAAGCTTGGGTAACTAACCCCAGCCTGGGGTAATTTGCAATGAGTCTCAATTGCTTGTGGCATAAGGAAGTGGTATGTCTGCGGTTGGGCTATCATAATGGCTCCGTTCACGGTATCGTAAATGGTGAATCGATTATGGCCAAGATCGGTGCAAGAATGCAAAGAGTCGCGACTTGGTTTTATAGTGGTCGGATTGGGCCATCTCCTCTGGCCTAATCTGGGTCATTCTGCGGTCACACCCTAGGATGGTATATGACAGACAAAGAAACCCCACATATATTCAAGCTGTATCAAGATTTGAGCGGGCAATCCGCACATCAATCAAGAGACCTCCGTCATGCCATTCGATGCGGGGTAAAAACATTTAAAACTCCGATGCTGGGCGGTGATAATATTTAAATGAAATGTAAATCTAACCTTAGCATAGCGAATTGTGAGCTCCACCCACATTTACAAATCAATAATACTTATGACAACAACAGGCTTTGGGTTTCATCTTTGGTAATGGTATTATAGAGAAAACAACACAGAAGCCCCCTTCCTCCTCCCGAACTCCCACCAACACTCACCATAATATTTAACCCTTAACTTAAAAGAAAAACCATCATTACTGTTTGTATTATATCGAACGACTATCCTATTCTGTGTTTGCTTTTTCTATTCTTCTATTTATAGGATTGGCTTGCGGGACGTGTGTTTTATCCTCCGATTTCGGTTTCATAATCGATTGTAACTTCAAAAAGTCTGGACTGTTTCGAGTACGAAATTTGGGTGGCCTAAAGGCCCATTTCGGTTTAGGTAAATCTCCCAACTCCATCTACTCTGTCATCTGTCACCTATCACCTCATCCTCATTCTTTTAGTGTATATATCCATAGCATTAAAATAGTTCAAGGTGACTGTAATTGTATTTTTCGAGTGCAACTAATTGCCCGAGTAATCGAACTCGGCTTGAACTCAAACGCACCGCGACTAGCGATTAAGTAAGTCATTAATGCATTAATGCCAATGTCAGAGCTCTCGATACCGATAGATAGATAAGTGGAGCAAACGAGAAGCACAGCAAGATCATGAAAAAAAAACCTGAAGATTGACCTGTAGTTCAATTATCAGGGGCACCGAAGAGGGGTCTTTATCATTATAAGGCTGAAAACAGCATAACGATTATATTAATTAAATTGAAATTCCCTTAACACTGAAAGGAAAGACGAATTTTGACTTGAACATAAAAATACATAATATAATAGGTTCATTTTCAATTCCCGCAATTTTAGAAGATATATAAATTTTACAAAATAGGTTTTAAAGTCAAGAATACTTTAAATACTTCATAAATTAATTTAAATGATGCAAATTCAAGTTTGATTTATTTAAAAAAATATATTTATTAGGCTCAACAAATTAAAATAAGAAATTTGAGATACACTGAAATGAAATATAGCCTGAAATAACTCCATCTAAACCCAAAATAAAAAATATAAATATTGTAAAACTTCCCCCCATATTCCCTAAAATATATTTTTTTTACACAAAATGTCCAAATGAGTTGAGCAATTGTTGTGGGCTCAGCCGTGCACTTAACCATTGACCCCTTTATTAATGGATCCGATCCGATCCAGGCTTTGTGTACATACCAAACGAGCAGATGTCTGACTTAGATAAAGCTAAGGCCCTTGGCCGGTAGGTAGACTTACCATGTGAAGGGAAAACAAGGGCCATTAATTAACACATCATTGCCCAACCCTCTCTCGGCCACGATTGTGGAGTGTGATTGATGGGCCCAACCTAACCCTTGCGCACAATTTTGCAGGTTTCAGCCTGGGCGATGAACTAGGCTTTCCGGAGTCGCTGGGCAACGTGGAGAGCGATCGCCGAAGAGCCATTAGCTACAAGAACGGAGCTCCGCCGGATTTGGTGGGCGTGCTGCCCTCTACCCAGCAGCAGGTGGGTTTCCCCATTGTCACAATGATCATGTATATGGATATTTCTCTTCGTAGGTCAAAGCCCCAGTCCAACAACCCTTGCCGGAGAAGCGGATCAGTTCACGCTCCACCGGAGCAGCGCCTTACAACCTGCAGCAGGTGCAACAGGCGCAACAGGCGCAGCAGGTGCAGCAACAACTAAAACTTAAACAGCAACTTTTGTTGCTGCAACAGCAGCAGCAAGCGCAGAAGGCCCAGCTCATGACCGAGGCGCGTCCCCTGCCCCTGGGTGTTCCCGCCTTCCGACCCATTCCCAAGAAGCAACAGCAGGAGATCGCAGCGGCAGGTCCGGCTCCAACCACGGCAGAGAGGCGGGTGGCCGTGGATACCCCAGAGCCCAGGGTCAGTGTCAACAACAAGCTGATAAGTGCAAACGATAAGCCAGTGAGTAGTTTTCACGTCCCTTTAATTATTTCCAATTAATTATATTTACTTAAAGCACTCCAACCGCACCTTCCACGTGGCCAATCCGGTAGTTTCCCAGCCCGTGGCCGTGCCCGTGTTCCAGGCCATGCCCGACTCCATTGCCCGCATCGCCAACGTGGGCAAGGAGCACCGAACGGTTTCCAATCATCCGAATTACCTGCAGTTCGAGGAGCCCAAGTTCGATCTGAAGGATGTGACCGTGGAAGAGCTGGCCGCGGCGGCCAATGTCACTGTGGACACCATCAAACACGCCATCTATGTGCGAGAGCAGCAACTAAAGGCGGAGCACCGGGCTCAGCTGGCGGCCAAGCTGCGAGAGGAGTTTATGCGCACCTCTACAGTAAAAACTACGACGACGACAACGACAACCAGCACACCGCGTCCTCAGAAGTCCCTGGCGGAGCACAAGGTGTCCAAGGTGGGTGTTTCATTTAAAACCTATAAATGGTTAAAAACACCCTTTATACGAAACCGTAGGTAATGAATGCCCCCAAGGAGTATTATCCCGTTGGGTACGACAAGAACTTTGACGATAATTTTAAATCGAAAGTGGATCTGCCGCCGACGAGCTTTTCCTGTGCCAAGCAGAAGCACTTTCCGGGTCTCTACGCCGACACAGATCTGGGCTGCATGGTGAGAATTCAAGGCTACAATTCAAATCGGAAAAGAAAAAAATTAAAAGCTTTCGTTTAGGTCTTCCATGTGTGCGCCCTGACCGACGACGGAATGGTGCGGAAGTCCTTTCTCTGCCCGGAAAACACCCTGTTCGACCAGACGATCCTAAAGTGCAACTGGTGGTTCTACGTGGACTGCAGCTCCAGCACCAGCATCTACGACTCGAACATTCCCATCTCGAAGAGCTACCAGCTAATGAAGTCCCTCACCTACTTCTCCAAGTTCGCCGGCGGCCAGCGACAGGGCCAGGAGCAGGACGGCGCCAAGGATGAGAACGCTTTGGACATAGACTCGCTGCGGGAGTCGATGGAGGGCGTGTTGCGGCGCCAGGAGCAGGCCAAGAAGGCGGAGCAGCGCGAGGCGGAGGAGAAGGAGCAACGAAGCCGGCCAAAGGAGGACCATGAGCATGTGGTGCCTGCGGAGGGAGAGCAACGGCTGTCCAACTAGGCTCCAGAGCCCCCATCCACGCTATCTGAGATCTAGGTTAAGTGTTCACGATCGAGCGTCTCTGGTCGGTTAGCCGTACGTAGTCAAGTCTTTGCTCCTTGCTCCACGAGTCAATGGGTTTTCCTGTAATCTTCTCTCAACAATTCCAGCGGCAGCTCCTGCACAGAGAAAAAGAGTTGCCTAAAGCAGGCAATGAATTTTCTCTGTGTAGTCCCATTTTTCCTTTGCTCCCGAGCGCCCATAGATATAGTCCTTGCTAGCTCCTTAAGTCTCTAGTTAAGTCCCAGGCGATTGGGTTTGGGCAGTTAATGTTATTACGTTTTACTATTTATTTATTGTACAAGTATTTCGCGACAATTAAACATTGTTTTTTTCAACACAAAGGATACATGTCCTTTTATATCGGCGCACCAAGATCAGCAAACTCTGGAGGGAAATAAAGTCTTTGTAGATAAAGCTTTCATTACTAATTGCAACTCCATTTTCAGGACCAAATTATAAAAATTAAAACCAAAACGAGATACATGTTCTAACCCTACACAGTTTATTGAGTAACTAATTATTTTCATAAAATATGATTTTTGGATAGATAACGGATACCGGGAATTACTTGGTGGCGGAGCCAATGCCTGTCAGCTCCTGCAGCTCCTTGAGCAAATACTTGTTATATTCCTTGTGGTTGATGGGGGCCGCTGACTGCACGGTCAGTTTGTTGCGGGTCATGTCGCCATACACCTCGTCCTTGCAGCGCAGCTTAAAGATGTGCGAAGTAAAGTTGAGGGCAGAGAACATTTGTTCGGCCTTGGCGGAGTCGTTCTCCAGGGCCTCGCCCACCTCCTGCGAAGTGTGTCCCAGCAGCTGCTCGCCGATCTCGTTGAAGCATGTGACCCAACGATTGGAAGCCCAGTCGCCAATGCTCATCTGCAAGTCAAGATTCAAATTGGTTTAGAAAAAGTTATCGCGTACTTCGCATTCCCTGTACTCACGTTGATCAGAAGCCGATACTTGAAGTTCGGATAGAGCGCGTTGCAGCGCTCGCAGCGGTACTGATCGTTGCCCTCATCCACCACCTTTTTGTTGCAGTCTGTCTGGGGGCAGGCGCGGTAGAAGGCGTTCTCCTGCCGGACAATGTGCACCACCGCCTTGCACTGGAAGTAGTCGGGCTTGTCGCCACGGCCGAGTTGGCGAATATTTATATCCTTCAGGTTCAACCACTCGGTGTTGAAGGAACCACCGCCCGTACGAGCCGATACCATGTTGGCGATATTATCACCGCCGCCATTATCAAACCAACCGCGCAGCTTGTGGGCCTCTGGTATGTCAGGATTGATCTTCATGATGGAGCCACCGCCAAGGCTCAGACTCTTGCCGCCGTTGAACTCATTGATGCGCGTACCCTTAACCAGGATCACGGGCTGCACATGGCCGTCAAAATTGACGGCATCGTCGCCCCAGAGGGTCAGATTAATGGCCGAGCTGCTCATGTCCACCAGGGTGAGGTCTCGCTTCTTGAACTCCTTGTTGGTGGTGCGCGACACAAAGGACTGCAGCTCGCCCACCTCCTTGCAGATGCCAATCGTGTCCACAGCTGCTTTGTTCTCCATTCCCGATACCTCGGAAATGGGCACCAGGTTGTACTTGATGTCCGGAATGCCACCGTCGTCGGCATCCTCGCACAGCTGCACGACCGTCTCGCCGGTGAAGGTCATCTCGTATGGGTTGTTCAGCTGCGAGTACTGCTTGTTCGCCGGCTTCAGCTGGCACTTGGAGATAAAGTAGACGCTGTCTACTTGGATCATATCAAAGAACTTGTCGCACTGCTCCTTGAAGGCAGTGGCCCGGATCTCTCCCGACTCGTCCATAAGATCCATGCTGAAGAGCTTGCCCTCGCCGCGGGGGTTGCTCCATGTTCGCACAGCGGTCTTGGAGGTAACGCGCGCCTTGATAACCCATTTGTTTTGATAGGGACTCAGGCTGGAAATGGGGTGCGTCATTCCGCTATTGATCGATGTGTTCATGGATATGTTGTTGTTATTGTTGTTCTTGAAAGCAGGCTCCTTTTTGGCGGGGGCATTTGCCAAAGGAGGTGCTGCCTTTGGGGCCAGATCCTGCTTGGAGGCATTCTCGTAAGTGACCGGCTCACCGATTTTAACCTTGACTTCGGAGCCGGCATTGACGACGGTCAACTCTGAGATGATTAGCACGCGTCTGAAAGTGCAGTGGGGTTTAGTGCTAGCGCTTGGAAACCCCTCCCAGATTGCTACTTACTTGCCTGCGCCGTCCTTGCCCACCATGGAGGTCACATACTTGTCCAGCTGCACAATGGTAAACTCGTTCAGCTGTCCCTTGTGCTGCATCTCGTTCAGCTGGCTGGCCAGCATGGCATAGCTGTTGAAGTACTTGCCGTCGGAGATCAGGATGCGATAGCGCTCTGAGTCTGCGTTGCTGTTGATCTTCTTGATCGCCAGGATCTGGAGCACCGGCTTGGAGATATCCTCGCCATGCATGATGCGCTGTTCATCAGGTACATATTTTCACATCAAATGGTACATCTCCAAAAGCCATACTTACAGGAATGACTCCCGAGGACAGCGACGCGACCATGTTGATAGTTAATAATTAATAAATAATTGCAATTTCACAAAAAAAATAGTTAATAATTAATAAATAATTGCAATTTCACAAAAATGTATAATTCGCAGCAGTGCAGTTCGAGGGCTGGGCGCTGAGTGAAGCCAGATGAGGCGGGAAGGGCTGCTGTTCGTTTTGAATCAGTGGTTCCGATTGGAACTGGTTCCAGCCAGGGCTGCACTCAAGCAGTACAGTAAGGCGTCGCTTACACGTATCTTAGTTTACTTTACTTTTTTACACGAATATCTACCATGCCGTGCTCAATATATATTTATATTTACATAAATCCCACATTTAAATCTAAGGATATTGCAATATATAGGTTTTAAATAAAAGTACAGCGGCTAGAAGTAATATTAAGATGCATAGTGTCATCTTTAGCCGCATTTCACTGTAGATTGCCATTGTTTTACAATACTAGAGTTCTGTGTTGGCATTTGGCAGCACTTTTTCCCGCGCAATTCGCACGCGTCCACAACAAAAGATCGCAAGCGCAAAAAACACAGATTCCTGGAGAACTCCGAGCACAACAGACGCGCAGACGACATGGACAATCCCAGCTCACCGCCGCCAAATACGCCCAGCGACGCCGCCGCCGAGCGTCGCGAGATGCGAGCGGCGATGACGTCGCCGGTGGGTGACTTCGAGCCGTTTGAGAACGAGGATGAGATTCTGGGGGATCAGACGGTGCGCGACGAGGCGGAGGAGGAGGATGGCGAGGAGCTGTTCGGGGACAACATGGAGAACGACTACCGACCCATGCCGGAGCTGGATCACTACGATCCGGCGATGCTGGACGATGAGGATGACTTCTCGGAGATGTCCCAGGGCGATCGCTTTGCCGCTGAGTCGGAGATGCGCCGCCGCGATCGAGCAGCCGGAATCCATCGCGATGACCGTGACCTTGGCTTCGGGCAGTCGGACGACGAGGACGATGTGGGACCGCGGGCCAAGCGACGTGCAGGCGAAAAGGCGGCCGTGGGCGAGGTGGAGGACACCGAGATGGTAGAGTCCATCGAAAATCTGGAGGACACCAAGGGCCATTCCACCAAGGAGTGGGTGAGCATGTTGGGACCGCGCACCGAGATCGCCAATCGCTTTCAGTCTTTCCTGCGCACCTTTGTGGACGACCGTGGCGCGTACACTTATCGCGATCGCATCCGTCGGATGTGCGAGCAGAACAAGTCGTCGTTCGTCGTCTCCTACACGGATTTAGCCAACAAGGAGCACGTCCTGGCCTACTTCCTGCCGGAGGCTCCGTTCCAGATGCTCGAAATCTTCGACAAGGTGGCCAAGGAGATGGTTCTGTCCATCTTCCCCACCTACGAGCGTGTAACCACCGAGATCCATGTGAGAATATCGGAGCTGCCGCTGATCGAGGAGCTGCGCACGTTCCGGAAGCTGCATCTGAATCAGTTGGTGCGCACCTTGGGCGTGGTGACCGCCACCACGGGCGTCATGCCGCAGCTGTCTGTGATCAAGTACGACTGCGTCAAGTGCGGCTATGTGCTGGGTCCCTTTGTCCAGTCGCAGAACACTGAGATTAAGCCGGGCTCCTGCCCCGAGTGCCAGAGCACCGGACCCTTCTCCATCAACATGGAGCAGACGCTGTACCGCAACTACCAGAAGATTACGCTGCAGGAGTCGCCTGGCCGCATTCCCGCTGGCCGCATTCCGCGCAGCAAGGACGTCATACTGCTGGCCGACCTGTGCGATCAGTGTAAGCCGGGCGATGAACTGGAGGTCACTGGCATCTATACGAACAACTACGATGGCTCGCTGAACACGGATCAGGGATTCCCTGTTTTTGCCACAGTAATTATTGCCAACCATGTGGTTGTCAAGGACTCGAAGCAGGTGGTTCAGTCGTTGACGGACGAGGACATTGCCACGATCCAGAAGCTGAGCAAGGATCCTCGCATTGCTGAGCGCGTGGTGGCCTCCATGGCACCTTCAATTTACGGACACGATTACATTAAAAGGGCTCTGGCCCTGGCTCTTTTCGGTGGCGAGTCCAAGAATCCTGGCGAGAAGCACAAGGTTAGGGGCGACATCAATCTGCTGATTTGCGGAGATCCGGGAACGGCCAAGTCGCAGTTTCTCAAGTACACGGAAAAGGTGGCACCACGGGCGGTCTTCACCACGGGCCAAGGAGCCAGTGCCGTGGGTCTTACCGCCTACGTTCGCCGGAATCCCGTCTCGCGGGAGTGGACCTTGGAGGCGGGCGCCCTCGTCCTCGCCGATCAGGGAGTCTGCCTGATCGATGAGTTTGACAAGATGAATGACCAGGACCGCACCTCGATTCACGAGGCCATGGAGCAGCAGTCCATCTCGATTTCGAAGGCTGGCATCGTTACCTCCCTGCAGGCGCGCTGCACTGTGATTGCTGCGGCCAATCCCATTGGCGGACGCTACGATCCCTCGATGACGTTCTCGGAGAACGTGAATCTCTCGGAGCCCATTCTCTCCCGTTTCGACATCCTGTGCGTGGTCAAGGACGAGTTCGATCCGATGCAGGACCAGCAGCTGGCCAAGTTCGTGGTCCACTCGCACATGAAACACCATCCCAGCGAGGAGGAGCAGCCGGAGCTGGAGGAGCAGCAGCTGAAGACCGTGGAGGACATTCCACAGGATCTGCTGCGCCAATACATTGTCTACGCCAAGGAGAACATACGGCCCAAGCTGACGGTAAGCCCGATCAAGTCCCAAGACCCCAAAGATTATATTAATTGCTTACCCTTTACGCTGCTTAGAACATCGACGAGGACAAGATCGCCAAGATGTACGCCCAGCTGCGCCAGGAGTCCTATGCCACTGGATCGCTGCCCATTACGGTGCGTCACATTGAGAGCGTCATCCGGATGTCTGAGGCCCACGCTCGCATGCACCTGCGCGAGAACGTCCTGGAGGCGGACGTCAGCATGGCCATTCGCATGATGCTGGAGAGTTTCATCGAGGCGCAGAAGTTCAGCGTAATGAAGAAGATGCGCAACACATTCCAGAAGTACCTGGCCTTCCAGAAGGACCACTCCGAGCTACTCTTCTTTATTCTGCGCCAGCTGACGCTCGATCAGCTTGCCTACATTCGCTGCAAGGACGGACCCGGGGCCACGCACGTGGAGATTATGGAGCGCGACCTTATCGAGCGAGCCAAGCAGCTGGACATAAGCAACCTGAAGCCGTTCTACGACTCCGATCTGTTTCGCACCAACGGTTTCTCCTACGATCCCAAGCGCCGTATCATCCTCCAAATCGTGGTCGATGGCAACACCGCCTAAGTCCGGGCTCTCCTCATGGCGTCCATTATTCCATTATCTCATTTAGTTGTAGAAAGGTCGCATCTATCTTTTGTTACCCCCACATTCAGTTTAATATTGGATTATTTTTATATTTATGTTTAATAAATTTAACATTTTCAGTAAAATTTTGTTTCTGTTACTGAACTGCATACTTTTGGGGTGGAAATAATATTTCGCATTTTATTTGAATTTCAATTGGACAATGTAACTTCACATTCAGCGCTGACAAAGTTAAACTAAATCAATACGTACATACACAGTTAAATACACTTTAATTTAGTTTTGGTGGTTTGGTTGTTACTCGTTCATAGTTGTGATATTTTCAGTGACCCCTCATTCTCTATTTATTCTATACAGACACGTCTAAGGTGTTATTTGTGGCTATTCTTGTAGAAATCAATATAATCTATTATCTGTTTATGTAATAAGCATTTATAAAAAGAGTTCGGTACAGTATCTCATACAATCGCGTATGAATTGGGTTATATTCATGTTATTTTTGTTTCTTTTTTAATGGAAAGTTTCTGGCAATGCGTTAATTTTTTCTCTGGGAGTGTAGATGTGTCGCCGGGTCCATTAAGTAAAGCACACCAAGTTCTGTTGCGATCTCACTCTTACAAAAAATGACACAAGTAAAGGCGTAAAACAAAGCTTATAGCATATAAATATTAAAGGTGTCTGGGCCGGCGAGGTGGCGGGTTCGAGCTTGGGAAATGCAGTATCATCTATAGCTTCTCCCATCTTTTTCTTCGGCAGGATTCACGGGGTATCCTCCTCCTCCTCCTCCTTCTCTTGCCACACACTACTGCTCTCGTTCTCCGTATCGCTCAGAATTTCCACGACCTCTTCCTCGCCAGTCATTAGCAGTCCTTCCTCCTTTTGGAACAAGTAAGGCGGTGTAGTGTCGCCATCGGCTTCGGGCTCGGCGTCAGCATCGGGATCGGCATCGGCATCGTCCGCCGTCTCGTTGAGTAGGTTCAGGTCCGGCACCATCACCTCATCCGATCCCACTTGGGTGTTGGTTTGATTGGCTGTCGCCGCTGCAGGCGGTGCAGAAACGTCCATCGGCGGCAAGGTGGCTACCGGATTGAAGGGTGCATCCAAATCTTCGAGGCCCCGCGGAGGTTTCAACTTGGCCAACTCCTCACGCAGGTGACGATAGTGCCGGCGCAGCACCATCGAGTTAAAGGAGATGGTGCGACTTGCCCGCTCCGTGTACTGCGGCTTACTCAACTCCTCGATCCAGCCTTCGATCTGGGCGCAGATCTCCTCACGCTTCAGCCAAAAGTGCTTATGAATAACCTGCAATCAGGAAGGTTTCAAGAATTTAGAAAATTTCCGAGGATATTTGGAAACACTTACATCTCTGAAGCAGGGACTAGGATTGCGAATCTGCTCTAGCATAGCCCAGCGCACGCAGGCCTGGTATATATTGCTGTTGTACTCCCGCGACGAGTTGGTGCCACTCGGAGTGCCCCGGCTCCTCTCGAAGCCGGGCTCGTTGAAGTACGGCTCGGGAACCAATATCAAGGACTGGATGGAGACGAGAACCTGCAGGAAACTGGAAGTTTGCGCATTCCACTTCTCCTCGGGCCGGCCGTGCCAGGTGTTGAGCACCGAGAGACACACCTTTCCGTCGTTGTATAAATTGGGATTAAAGCGCACCGAATGGCGACCCGTAGTCTCCAGATTAATGAGCATGGGCAGGTTGGGATAGTCTGGCGGAAAGAAGACATCGAACTCAAAGCACCCGTTGGCATACGGCGTGTCCGCCGGCCCGGTGATGAGTACCTTCATAATGTCCAATCTGTCCGTATCACAGCGCACAAATACCGAGCTACTGAAACTAAGTGGCAGACTGGTGGACAGTGTCACAGCCTCCTGGGCGAGCCGCTTGACTCGCGACGGATGGTAGCGATCGCCGGCGAGCCGTACCATCTTCTCGAAGTGGTGAGCGACTACGAAGCGGAAACTATTGTTGTCCGACTCCACGATCATGTCGTACGTGTCGAACTGGCGCTTCTTCATCAGCTCCAGGTAGCGTTCCTCAATGGACTTGCTCAGTGGCTCCGGCTGCCCGCTGCCATCGTCGTTGGTGTGCAGCATGTTTATCAGAGCGTCTGCATCCGTTGTCCTTTGCACGAGCACACTGGTCTCCTGGATGTCCGGGATGAGCAGAGCGAGTCCCTCGTCGTCGCCGTCATCGATGTTGAATGTCAACTGGTGCGTCTGGCCCTTGATGTTCGACTTCTTGTTGACTCTGTGCGGATGGCAGGGAAGAATTAGCACCTTTAATTAAGCAAGAACATGGGGTAGGCTTACTTTAGCCGCTTGGCGTAGGTATCCACACAGGTCTTCATGTTCGTGAGCAGCTCCGCGATGGGCGGTGTGCTCCCTCCACTGCCAGTGAGCGCTGGCTGGAGCAGCGAGACGAGCATCTTGGACAGCGATAGAGCGCGCAGAAGCTTGAGTATGGCACGGTAGAGAGGAATGTGGCGTGTGATGTCTAGCACGGAATCATTGCGCAGGTAGGAGCTGAGGGCAGGGATAAGGCAAGACTGCTGCAGCAGGGTCTGGAAGATGGGCGGCAGCTCGCCAGTCACATCTCGAACGTCGTGATAGGCGAGGATGTCCTCCCCGCACATCTCACTGGGTATGCAATCTCCGGGATTGATGTAGCTGGCCAAGACGAGCAGCAACACTGTCACGTGCTCCTCCTCGCTCTTCTGTCGGAGCAGCGCCTGCTCCACATTCCAGGACTGGGTGGTGGATCCGGTGCCAAAGCCCGTGCCTTTGGCCCAGTACATATGGCTCTTGTCATCCGACGTGGTACTGGGCAGGGCCTCCTCCGCAGCGTTTCCCTTGGCGCCGCTGACACTAGCGTTTCCACTTCCGCTTCCACTACCACTACCACTTACATTGCCGTTGCTGCCACTACTTGCCCCACTTGGCGACGGCTCATTAATCGGCGCCCCGATCCGGCTGTTGTGCGACTGGTGTGAGAAGATGCCCAGGCAATTGAGCACCAAGTGCATGGCTCCCACCTCGATGACCACGCGGCGGAGCAGTACCCCGTCGTCGGTAGACAGTGGCACGCTGTCCAGCAGCTGGCGGAAAACCTCGAAGGGCAGTGTGGGCAGCGAAGGCGCCAGCGACAGGCTGTAGATGTCATCTGGTTCGGTGAAGTCAAATAGGAAATGAAAAACTAAGAGTAAAAATGTGAAAGTGTGGGTACTTACTGCCCTCGCCGTCGCCCGTAACGCCCAAGACCAAACGGAGAAGGCACTGCGCCCGCAGCTTGTCCCGCAACAAAACATCCGAGTAGGCGGGCAGGCGGAGGAAGAGTCCAAATGCCGCCAACGAGTGCTGAGGCACAGAGCTGACCGTCGTCTGTTTGGCTGCCGGCTCGCAGATGGTGTCCTCCAGGTCCTCGTAGATTTCATCGTTCGGCTCCAGCTTCACCCAGTCGGACAGCGGCGGACTCTTCTCCTTCTCAGTGACCACTGAAGTGGTCTTGCGACCCGAGTGCTCAGGGTAGACGGTGGGAAGGTAGTGGGCCAGCAACGACAGCCCGCCGCTGCTAGAGAACCGCTGCAAGGGAGACGGTAGCGGCTGCGCGCAAACGGCCTTGGTTTTTTTCGCATCGCCGACTTCATCAGCCCTCTGCTGAGGCACCAGGTTAAGCGTAATGCAAGGCGTAGATAGCGAGTGCCCAGCGTCCTGAAGGGTGGCGAGAACCTGCGACACGGTCGCATCGCCGGCCAACAGAATGTCGGGATACTCCGGAACAACTAGTTGATTGCCGTTGGCAGCACTTGCCGTTTGCAGCAAGAACTCCTCCACGTTGAATATATCTGCAAGGGAGCGATCGGTTAGCAACTCTTTTAAGGCAACCCAAATCTGGTTCCTACTGGAAGCCAAGTTCATGGCGCTGGTCTGGGTCTCCTTGTCCTTGTTCACGGCCGCCTGGTTCTTCGCATCCTTGATGCGCTTATCCTTGGCAGCCACCGCGGCTCCGACGGTGAGGAACTCCAAGCTACCCGCCTCCACGTTGTTGAAGTTCATGAAGTTGTTCTTCTCGAGCTTGCCATCGCCGGACTTTGCAGTCGCACTGGCGGCTATACTGCCAGAAGCGGAGGCCGAGATCGCTGCCTCGCCAACTCGCTGATCTGTTGGTTGTTGGTAAACTAGGTTACTAAACACTAGGGAGCCAGGAGGGAAAGCAACGGAAACGAAGAAGGTAAATTAATGAAAGGAAGTAAAAGAAAGCACATAATTAACAAACATAAAAAACCCTACAGCTCCTCGAACGACTCTTTCCCTTAGTTTTGATTCGGCTGAGCGCTCGCCGGTGAAGCACCAACAACTCCCGCTCCCCTTAAGTAAGTGTGTGTGGCTTACCGCTAACGCAGTTCTGCATAATCTCCTGGCACGTGGTGCTAGTGGTTACCGTGAAAAGCATGTGGTGTGCGCTGCTCCGCTTGGCCGGATGATTGTTGACAGCCGCCACAGGCAAACTAGTGCTGGCCCCAACGCTCGAGGAGCCCCCCATGATGGCCGAGAGCGTGTCTCTCCGCTGCAAGGGCTGCTGACTCCTCACTGAGACGGTGATGTGCTCGTTCTCCAGAAGGAGCTGCAGAACCAGCTGCCTGGTGAATCCCGAGATGGTGGGTCGGACGCCCAGGCTCGATTGCAATGGCTTGCAAATGATGGCTCCGATGAGCAGCGATGTAAGCACCTCCTGGTTGCCTGGATGACAGGCACTGACTCGCGTAAAGAAATGTATGGTCGCCCGCTCCAAGCGGATGAAAGACTGCTGCATGGGCAGCGTCTTGCTGAACTGGGCGGCATGGGTGTTACAGAGCAGCTGCAGCAGAGGCTTCCAGAACACGGAGCCCTGCATGGTGCCCAGCCAATCCCGCATGGGCCCCTCCGCACAGCACTCGGCGAAGAAATCCAGCACCTTTGGCACATTGGCACTGCTCAGCAGCGGCATATTGTGACCCACATGCGCTTCGGCCTTGGCAAAGTCCGTCAGCGAGGAGTCCTCGTCATCCGCGGGAACAGCCTGGCTGCTAGCGATGCCAGCAGATTGAGTAGCAGATGCAGGAGCTGCCGAAGATACCGTCTCTGATCCGGGCAAGAGGTGGGCGCAATATTCGTAGATGGCGTGGGCCAACAGCTTGGGGAGTCCAGAGTCCAGCATCTGATACACCGCCGCTGGCGACTGGCATGCCAGAGCGAGGGTCTTCAGGAATGTGGGACGCTGCAGCAGAACTGTTAGATTTTCGCTGCCCTCGCGCCGGAACCAGGCACTGCCGCTCTGCACCTTACTGTCGTCGGTCTGGCCGCGGGCCGGCGGCTCAAGCTTTACTCCCAGCTTGACCAGCAGTTGGTTGAACAGCTCCGGCTTGATGAAGCACAGCGCGCAGAGCAGCGAGTCGAAGCTGCTCTTGAGCGGCTCATCGTGCTCTAGGGACGAGATCCACTCGAAGCACGTCTCGAATAGGGCTGACGAGATCAGGAGGGGCAGCTCGGGGAGTTGCTGTTGCGTCTGCACCCTCCACAGAATGGAGGCTATTACCTTGACGAAACCGCTCTGCGGATTGTTGCAACGCGCCTGCTTGCTGTAGTTGTCGTGCAGCTGCATGACCCAGTCGATGAGCACGCTCAACTTGTCCAGCAGGTGCTCCGTGGAGCCCGTGACCACTTCGTGAATGAGATCGCACACCGCATCGCTGGACAGCTTAAAAACTGCAAAGGAGACCAAGTCAATAGAAATATTTTAACAAAAATAATTCATCGTGGCAGAGGAGGGGCATACCTTGGGGCGTGGTGTGCCAGAGAAGCGTCCGCAGCAGCTGCAGGCTAAGTTCGTGGTTGTACGCCCCGAGCTTCAGCAAGATGGTCTCCAGGTGCTGCTGCGCCAGGCTGGGGATCATGGGCATGATGTTCAGCAGCGAGCAACATGCCTCCAAGAAGCCCGGATAGGCAGCCGGATATGCGGCGATCAGGTCCGCCAGCTTGCTGTCCGGCTGTATGGCGGCCACGTGAAAGCAGCGTGACAAAATGCGAACCCAGCCAATGCTCGTCTTGGCGAAGGCATCGTCCTCGGGCATCGCGTCCGCGTCCATGGCTGCCAGAGCAGCCGTTTGCAACGGTGTGGAGCAGGACGCTAGGGAGTCAATAAACAGGCCCTGGGAGCGCAATCCTTGCATCCGATTCCCAAATATTGTCTGGCCAAGAACGGCGATCTGCACGAGACCGACATTGCCGCAATCCTTGGGCCTTCGGAGAAACAGAAACATCAAAATCATCGAGATTATTGCAGAGATTCCTCGACACTTACTTGTACAGTCTAAGGACAATACTGGTGGCCACCTCTGCCTTGGAGAGCTTTAGCCTGATGCAGGTCAGCCCAGTGGTGGCCATGGGAGCTCCTATTGGAACGGAGCCAATGCCATAATCCCGTGACAATTCCAGCGCCACCGCCGACGGACACGAGGCGAGACTGGAGGTGTGTGGCATCAGCTGCACCTCCTTCAGCAGAATGGCCGTGGGCAGCGTTATGGTCAGGTCCACGTGCGTCTCGTTCGGGTAAAACATGTAGCTCCAGGCCGGAGTGCGTGGCCTTCTGTGCGTGGCATTGGGATTGGAGATGAGCACCTCGGCACTCTGCCCAGCATCATTTTCGGACACGATGTGCGAGAAGGGTGCAAAATTAATCAGGCCATCATACTGCGCACCGCTTCTTGGCGGCTGAGAAGCTCCGGTGGCTCCGGCGGTTCCAGTCCCGGTTCCGGTGGTCTTCTTGCAGGCACTGCTGGCTCCCCCAGCGGCGTGCGTGTTCAGCTTGAGCCGAGTATTCCGGGTCATGTGCTGCATAATCAATGAGATCTGCAGGGTTGGGGTATCCTCGACTTAGTCCAAACAAACACAACTATTGAAATCGAGTCGCTCGCTTACCAATCCCGGCTGCATGTTGATTATCGTCTTATTGAGCCTCACCATATTGTGACAGATGATCTGTATGCCGCCGAGCTGCGTGAACGTTTGCACAGCTGCCGTCACCTCCAGCACCTTGGAGATGTACCACAGGAAGGGCTCCGAAAGTGGCAGCCGCGGCAACGTGGCATTCCTCTGGATTGTGGCTGTGGGGAGGAGAAGGGAGGTTCGCTTGAGCACAAAAAGCAGACACTTAAGGCAACGACTTACTCTCCTCCAGATACTGGCAGATGGGCGCCACCACTAGTCGCGGATTGGAGGCCTTGTCGCTGAGAGTTATCATCAGACTAAAGACGGCATCGGCGATGGTCTGCGGATCATCCAGCACCATGTTCGACTTTGGCAAAAAGAAGCAGCCGGAGGTCATCATGGTAAACGTGTTGGTAGAGCACTGCGACAGCGTTCCAAAGAGCCGCTTCATCGTGGGAAAGTGGCGCAGCACTGAGTCGGATTGGATCGCAAAACTAGTTATGTTCCACCGACAAGTGTGGGCAGTATCAAAATCTTACCCCAATCCGCTATGCAGGGCACTTTAGTGCGATGTCCTTCCGTGTTTAGCTGCTCCGCCTTGGTTTCGTCCGTCTGACTTTGATTGGAGAGCTCCTCCTCCTCTGGAATGGTGACTTCCTGCAGTAATCATACACACCGACAAATAATTAAATGCATTTATAAAGCTCAATGGGCAGGACATACACTTGGCTGCCTTGGCATCTCCGTCAACACCATGTGCGAGGATAGTTTTAGCAGATTGATGATCAGCGAGTTGTCGCATATGGTTGCATTCTGCTTCGTGGGATTCTCAGAACCCAGGACATTGGCAAACAGATTGCTGAAGTTGTTGCCAGCATTGTTGTTCTCGTTGCCTCGCTGGCACTGCAGCTTGTCGCCGTTGGAGATGTTGTTGTACACCAAGAAAGCTTGCGGGATATATCAGGATTAGATCGAATCTGATCAAGAAGTGTCACTGCTATACATACAAACACTTTCGGTGATCTTGAGCGCTATGTTGAGGTCGCCCTTGTCGTTCGGCATCATAAGCAGGTCGCGAACGAGCTGGTTTTGCGCATCGATGGGTCCCTGCTGGTTGCTGATGGCGCCACCTGGCTGCACGAGCTGCAGAACAACGTGGAGTAGTATGTCCTTGAGCCGGCGCTTGCAGGGAATACCGCTGGTCTCGCTCTTGCTGTGCAGCCAGAGCAGTAGCTCGTGCAGGTGCTTGCATATTGTGGGTCCCGCCTGGAAGGACACGGTCATGAAGGTAGCTTAACAACAGGGTAAACATCGGCAAAGCTTACACATCGGTTGGTAATGATGGCGGAGCTCATTCCGTATCCGGAGAAGAACCGGAGCAGCATCTTCTCGAAATTCTCATCGTTTACGATGACCTCGTTGATGCGCGTGCAGTCAGCATCCTCGCCAATCGGCAGAGAGTTGCAGGCGAGGAACAGGCACTGGAAGCCAAGACACCATGTGCGCAGCTTAATGTCATTGTGCCAGGCCAGGGCCAGCAGGAGTCCCTGCACGGCGTTCGCCCCGAACGGGATCTTTGGTACTTCCGTGTGAGTGATGCCACTGCTGTACGACTTGTCCGCCAGCTCACAGTTCATGGTGAGCCATATGTGCAGCAGCTGCTCCAGGTGCACCCACGTGTCCTCATAGTGCAGATCCGCTAGAATGGAGTCAAACACCTTCTTGAACATCACGTAGGTGTTGCGGCCATTGTATTCGGTGCCGGACCACAGCTGGGTCAGGTACTCCGGCCACGGAGCCGCCTCTGGCGGCGGAGAGACAAACTCATTGGTCAGGACCTGGGGCAGCGAGGAGTAGAGATCTAGGGAAGTGCGATTCGTGAGTCTCCTCAGCTGCGTCTCCACATGCATCTCCAGGCCCACGTCTAGGCGGGAGTCCAGGGCGATGGAGATCGACTTGCAGAAGAAATTGAAGGTGTTCTTGCAAAGGGCATTGCTCTCCTTCCTGGTCACCGGCTTCGTGCGCTCGATCATGTCGATGTCATTTAGCATCTCGTCGAACTCAGTGTCGTCGCACTCGATCAGCGAGGGAAGGTAATTGTATTTGACGGCTGCAATTGGAGCGAGTACACCAAATATAGCGGGTGAGTACTGTTTTGTTGTACACGAGGCCACGGGATGTGGGGGGGAATAAATCAAAAGGGTGTCAAACTAAAAGCTTGGCTATGGGAGAGCTGCTCGATGGCCAGCCATCAAACAACCTCTCCAGATACCCAAATACCATGCCAGGTCTATACATATATAGGTGCTACGGTTAAGAAAAGACTCGTTTACCCTCTTGATAAAACTCTCTTGCTGTCGGCATCAGCATCTCAAATTGTGCCTCGGAGCATGAGGAAGCAGTTGCTAAAAGAACGGAAACATCAGTGCATTTCAGCATCAATTTCATAAAGCAACAAAGGCCGACCACATGATACCGTTGCAAATGTTCAGTTTAAAACCCTTGCAAGTATTACAATTTTAGTCAGAAGTTTGCAACGCATTAAAGTTACTTCCGACCCTATAAATTATATATATATATTCTTGATCAGGATCAATAGCCATGTCCATTTGTCCGATCAGAAATATATATGATTTTTAGAGTCGAAAGTGACTTTTTCACTGCGTTAGTAACTTTTAAGCGGGTATTAAAATTCAAGTATTTATGCATATTTTTAAACCCTTGCAGGAATTGTCTTTGGATCGCTAAACATAATAGTGTGGAAGGTGGTGAGGAGATACTTACACGTATAGTCACTAAACAGATCTCGGGTTTCCTGCATCGACGCCTCCATAGTGCGCGGGACATCGTTGGTAGGCGTGACATCGCTGTCCCTGAACAGTTTATCGGCGTCTAAGAGATCCTGCGACCGAAATGACAATTTCATATATTTAAATCTCATATTCACTCACGCTGCATTCGGGGCACTAACCTGGAGCAAACACGTAATGGCATGAACAGCCCAGGGCTGTTGCTGGTCGTTCCACACGGACAAACGGATGAGCTGCTCCAGCTGGGCGCTGGTCACAACCTTGCACAGCTGCACCGAAGGTCGGCAAGCGGCCACGAGCCGTGCAATAACCTTGCAGGTGAGCAGGAACTGATCCATGTTACAGTCGAAATCCATCTCCAAGAGCAGGGCGAAGAGGCCGCGGATAACCACCTTAATATTGGCCATTCGCAGCGTCTTCAGTCCTTTGTCAAAGTTGCTGTCGCGTTCGGCCTCGCTGCCCGAGATGTCATGGTGTTTGGGCGAGGATGTGGAGGCTCCCGTTGTCTTCGATGAGCTGCTCGTTGAGCTACCGGTGGACACACATAGGCCAGAGGATCCAATGTTAATCTTGCCGGCCGTGGAGGTTGACTTGCTGGCACCACTACCCTTTGACTTGGTGGACAACTCCATGAATATACCGGGATGCTGTTGGGCATTTGCACTCTTGATTATTAGAGCCACCGCCACCCCAATTTTGGCAAGAGACTCACCTCATTCTGGATCATGAAGATCTTTTTGCCCCAATCCGTGTACGGCGGCACGGTGTACTTGTTCTGCTGGATAATTCGCTTCTTGAAGCACCGCAACTGTTTGCTGTTGGGCGTGTTGCTGGGCCTCGTCTTGGTAAAGTCGCTCTCGCAGCTCATAAAGTCCCAGCGAGCTGCTGCTGCAAGTAAAGCGCCATCAGTAGTAGCAGTAGCCTTTACCTTAACTCTCTTACATTTATCCTTGCGCTCGTTGTCATCAAGGCAGACGGACAGGAAGAGGAGCAGCCAGGTGATCAGCTGCATGTCAGATGAGGTGCCCATGGCTCCATTGCGATCGGCAGCGTTCGCCGATGTGCTCGGCTGCTCAGACTGGAACTTGTAGTGCGGCGAGATGGGGGCCAGCAGCTTGACGAGCGTCTTGAGCACAGCATCGATCACTATGGAGCGGCAGGCGCCCATGGCGATGCTGCGACGTCCCAGATAGGTGAGTAGGAAGAAAATGCTGAATGGTAAGGGATGAACGAAAGATAAGATTTTTGTGATAAAAGTGCTTTTGGCCAGAGAAAAACGTACCGGTCCTGCGGAAAGGCCTTGCAATTCTGCGCCGAGAACAGACTGCAGAAGGTGTCCGCGAGGAAGTCGCCCCACCACGGCTGGAAGCAACACATGCGCACCAGCAGCGAGCAAGTGGCCAGCTGCAGCTGAGCGTCTCCATACACCACGAGCGAGTTGAACAAGGCCTTGGCCGTGGCTGCGTTAAATTTCTGGTGCACCGGCAGGATGTTCTTGATGCCATACTCGATGGAGAAGTGCAGCAGTACCTCCACCAAGCTTAGACTCAGCACACGCAACTTATCCCGCGAGGCAGCGCGCAAAACCTCTTCCGCCGGCGGCGCCTCAGGTGATGGCGTGGACAAGGCATTGGGTGACAGAGCTCGCTCCAAACGCATCACTACATTGCGGATCACGTTGATCTGGTACTGCAGCAGCATGCACTCGTCGTACAGGGACACGACCTTGTTGTTGTTGTCCAGGCCGCTCAGCTCCTCGTCCCGCTGCTTGTTGATGAAGGCCTGCAGGTGGGCCACGTTCGAGAGCTCGCTATTCCGCATCGGAGTCAGCATGTCCATCAGCTTGCAGCTGGCCAGACTGTACCGGCAGTGCACATCCTCGTACAGCGCATTCAAGGACTTCAGCTGCGTCTGCAGACTGTGCGTTGGCTGCTTGATGAACCTCATCAGCTGGTCGCCGTAGCTGTCGTGCTCCAGCACCACGGGATGGCCAAAAAAGCGGCCCAAGGGCACCTTGCACTTGGTTGACGACATTCCCATGCGCCCGATGATGATCAGCTTCAGGTAGCGGCAAATGGGCGGCGGCTGAATGTCGCTGAGCACCAGCGTCTTGGTTTGAATGTCGTTGACCTGCACCAGCCGCGTGCAGTCCGTCTCCTCGTCAAAGCACCAAATGTCGATGGTCAGGGAGGTGAGTTCATCACAGGCGGGGATCACCAGGTCCGTGAGCAAGATGTGTTGGCAAAAGTCCAGCACAACGAAGCGCCGCGCCCCCGAGTGCATCCGATCGATGACGATCATCTGCTTGGGCGGCGGAGTAATGAGCTTGTGCCAGGCAATCGGAGGACAGGGATTGGCGCTCAGGCTCTCCATGATCTTTTCAGTTTCCGCGGCGTCGTCTGTGGCGCTGTCCCCTGTCGTGGTTGTCTGCTGCTGGGCAAGGTGATGGTCCAGAGGAGTCTCCAGACCAGTCTCGTTGCCCATCAGTCCTGGCTTCAAATTACTGGCCAGTGCTGTGCCGTTCTCCCAGTTATCTGGCTTTCCGAAGTCCTCGAACGAGATGTGGTCGTTGATCTTCTTCTGGAACAAAGAGAGCTTCGGCAGAAACTTTGCTATCTTCAGCTTGTCCATGATAGCTGCCTTCTCGATCTTGACCTCCTCCTTCAGGGCGTGTTCCAGGTCGGCCAGCGAGGAGACTGCTGGATATGTGTACAATATCGATTCATAAATGACTCGAGATATGCTTCGCACTGATAACTTACATGTCTTATCCTTGAAGCCGTAGGCATCGAGGGCATCGTAGTTGACCTTGCTCTCGTTCTCCTTCATTTCCTCGACCAGGCACTCGACATCGTTGACCAGATCATTGAGCTGTTCACAAATTATTGCGTTATATTCGATGGCCTTCCTAAAAAGCTGACCTTAATGTCGCCTTACCAGCTCCTCATCCTTTTCCTTGCCCACTTTCAGCTTCGGCATCATCATGACATCCTCAATGATAACGCTGGCGGCGGAATTGCCGCCCACACTGTCGATGTTGTCGATCCGTGTGGCCTCCGAGGTCTGCACACAGTTAAAGTGCAGCTGTACCACCTCCAATAATCCGCGCAGCTGGTTGCTGATGCTCTTGCCCCGGATGAGGTAAGGAAATGTGCGGAAGTCCACGCCGTCTGCAAATGCAAAAACAAAAGCATTACGAGCTATAATCTGCATCGTGTTGGTCCGATCATACCTATAGAGCTTAGGCGCTTTATGTCCAGCCCAGTCACTGGCAATATGGTGGCGCTGCTGCGAATCACATTGGTCAGGGCCACCGAGGAGCTTGACCCGTGGCGATTGATATTGGGGAAGTCAAAGTCAAAGATCTCCGGCTCAAAGGGAAAGCCATAGAGGCCAAAGCGCGTGCTTAAGAGGGCACAATAGGGGTCCCAGCGCTTGTCTATCTCATCGGAGATCTCCTTCAGCATGTGGATTGCCTGCTCGGATATACTGTTATGGGACTCAGCGGTGGAGGTGGCGCAGGTGAGCATCATGTACCACCGAACCACGCTGCCGCACTGCGCCCGCGGCAGCTCGTGGAAGGTGTTGGATATGGCCGCCTTAAAGCTGTGATCCAGCGTCGTGTGATGCTGCAGCTCCGCCGGCAGATTAGTGACTCCCCTGCAGGCAGAATGATGATATAATTTCTCAAATGTTCCCAGCTACGGCAGACTTCTGGTCTGGCCACTTACTCTGTCAGCATGATCAGCAGCTTTACACACTTGTGGGCAGTGCTCCGCTCGCTGTAGATGATGCAGTTGCGCAGCAGGGCCTCGATGTGCTTTTCGGCGAGGGAAATGCACTCGAACTGCTGTGCCAGCAGGTCCTGAATATTCGCCGCTGTTTGCTTGTTGATCTGGTCCTTGACGCGCTCGGACTTGGGCGACCGGAACCGATTGAGCCGGACGAAGCATATCCAGTTGAGCACGTCGAGCGACATGTTCTTGGCCAGCGGACTCGAGCCCGGATCGCTGGCTATTCGCAACAGCTGCTCCAGGAGATGGTTGCTCTCCAGCATGGCTATGCGCTGCATGCGGCTGTTGGCGATCCGACTGTGCGACTTCACGGCCCGAACACTGATGGATATCTCGTGCAGCCAGTCGCAGCCTGCGAAGAGGACAGACAGGAAATCAGTACTGACTGACTACGACTGGGATTCACCCTCGTAGAAAACTGTAGCCAACTTTGGGGCAAGGAAGTACCTTCCCTACTCTCCGGCAGTGGCTCCGTTGCCTCTCCCCCAGACGGAGTAATTGGAACGGGCGGACCCAGAGGCTTGGGGTTCCCGACATGGGATAGGAACACCGGAATATTGCTCTGCGGCTTGAGCTTGAGCGCTTGATTAATATTAACGGCGCACGAATTACAGGGGGCCTTCGTCAAGGGATATACTTTGAGTACGGCTCTCTTGATTATTCGGACCGCATTGGCCAGAGTAATGCCGCTCTTGTTTCGGTCCACCATTGCTTCTACTTGATGCGAGCGTTTCTGCTGTGACGAGGAGGCTGCAAAATACGGTTGGTAAGCTCAAGTCAGCTTCATAGCTCCCCTGACTGCAGCTACACAGTTGCAAAACTCTCGAGATATTTTAGAAGGATGTTTGGATACACCTGTTCCCTCACCTCAAGACCTACAAGTGACATTATAGATGCACTTTGGGGACATACGTACTTCTCAAACAAGGCAAAACAACTAACAAAAAAGAAACATCCAATGCCCATTCATGACTGGCACCTTCGCTATTGCCTCAATTCCCTCCCCACTTCCACACCCAAACATACCCCTCGTCTTGTTCTGGCCCTCCTTCGACGGATCAGAGACCGTCTTGATGTGCAGCAAGAAGTTCCGGGTGCGCGTTTTGAAGAGTTTTGGCGAGGTCAAGGTGGCAGTGCCACCTTGATCGCACAAATCGATGCAAGAGGACAGCTCGATGGGCCCGGCCAAAACCTCCGCGTTGTGGGCCAGTAGATACTCCTCACTGAGCACGGGATTCTCATTGGCAACTGCAGGAGCGAAGTAATTAGCCAACGGCTGGGGTTCATTTAGAGGGGTGCTTACTGTAGGAGAGATCAATGTTGTCGTCGATTACATTCGGTTTGTAGCTGGCGTGAGGTCCCTTCATCCTGTAGCCAAATCCATTGGTATTCTGCTTGAGGAGCGTCACCTGAATGCCCGCGGGATTGGAGCACTGCTGATACACTGTGAACTTAAGATCGATGTGGCCCAATGACACGGGCTGGGCCAAGTTAAGCTCTATGATATGTTCGTCCCAGGTGGTCCTGAAAAGGGAAATTTTACGTAAATTAATCATTTTTAGTACGTGGATGATAGATAGACTCACGCATCGTTATGCAGTCGCCAGGTGCGGGTGAAGTCACGTTCGTCGCCGCCATGCCGCATGTTCTGCGACTGCTTTCGGTGCTTGTGCACCTGGCCGAGATCATTCCAGCAGCTGGGCACCTCTGCTGAGTAAACGGTCAGCTTGTCGTCAAACTGGGTAAGGGCATAGAAGAGCTTTAAATCGTCAAGGGTCATGTCTGCGGCCTTGTAGGCGAGTAGGTTGGCACTGCTGGCTGTCATCGAGGCCGCTGAGGGAGAAGTCTGGACATGGGCGCTCTGTCCAGCGGCGAAGGAAGCCGCCGCCTCGCTGCCCACATCCACGCAGATGGAATCGCTGGCCAGCAGGGTTTTGCTCATGAGATCCGCGGCAGACACTTGTCGGGCTCCATCTGTTACGCTTAGATCGACCGCCGCCTGCGTTAACGTGGTGCTGCACTCGTCCTCCATTTCCAGCAACTCGTCGCCAGAGTCGTTCTCACCCTCGCTAAGCGAGAAAAACACGAGTCCTCCCTGGCGGGAGCAGCAGCAGAGCCTGTCCAGGTTCCGGCAGTACACTACAGACTCAAAATGCTCGCCCTCCTCCTCAATAACCATTGTCCCCTGGAAGTCAGCGAGGGAATATATCTCGACACTGCCATCGGCACACACCACGCAAATGGAGCCGGCGTCCTTCTGCTCCGCGGAGGAGTTGAAGTGCGGCAAGATGCACAGTTGCTTGGGGCACTTGGCCCGACTAAAGGTCATGGCCAAGGTGTAGTCGTTCGATATCTGAGTGTCATCATAGTCGAACACCAGGAGCTGGGCTGCCACATTGCCCTCGGTGTTATCTGCTGAGAACATACAAAAATTAAGAGTTTTCACGCGAGGTCGAGGTTGTCCCTCTTACCCAGGTCCATTGCCTCATCCGCCTGCTGATCCTCGTCCTCTTCCTCCTCCTCCTCCTCTTCCTTGGCCACGGTGGCCATGATAATCTTGCTGCCCTCCGTTTCCGGCGCCTTGGTGCGCAGCAGCTTCACTAGCAGCTGGTTGCACTTGGGCGTCGTGGGCAGGATCTCGGCAATCTCGATGATCTCCTGAACCGAATGGGCTACACTGTTTGCCCCGCTGCTGGCGCCATCCAGGGCATTCATGCGCTTCACACTCGTCCAGCTCTCCACCACGCAGTCTATTTCCTCGGTAGCCGTCGTCTTGTCGCTGTTGCTGCTGCCGGTGGAGCTGCCGTTGATCATGATGTTGTTGTTATTATGGTTGTTATGATTCGAGGAACTCCCTCCTAGTGAGTTGGCCTCATTGTTGTTGTTGTTATTATTATTGTTGTTGTTCTGGTGAGTTATCTCCGCATCGTCGACCAGCTTGTCGATGTCGTTACCCATGCCCAGATTGCTGACATTGACTGTGTTCGACCCGACCATTAAGCCGACGAGGGGGTCCTCGAGATTCTGATCAAGGATCTGGGACAGGGTGCACAGATCGAAGTCGTACAGCACAGAGGCGTCGTCGGTGTTCTGGCTAACGCCGTTGTTTTTGTTGTAGGTCATTAGGGCGGACACGAATCCGTTGCTATCGAAACCGTCGGCGAATTTCTCGTAAGGAGTCATGGCCTTGTTATCATCATCCTTGGACTCGAGATTTACCTGGGCGACGACCGCGTTGCTGCTTTCGCTGGATGCTGGGGAAACGGTTAAATACTTAAAGGCCTTGTTTAGAACAACTCTTAATTTTACTCACCAGTGACCATTGGTGACGAGGACTTCATTAACTGGCCCCCAACACTCGAGACGCTGCCGCTGTCATTGCTTACCGTCGCAGAGGTCTCACTGTGTCGATCCACCTCCACGATGTTTAGCACCACCATGCGCAGAGCCACTTCGCCGCTGCTCTGGCGTACGCTGACACCCAGGACGATCTTGGAGCCGACCACTCCAGCCCGTAGCGTTGAGGTAGAGGTGATATGCTGGGCATTCACGCTGCCAAACTTTCCCCCCGACCCGGCGTTCGAGCCTGAATGGGAAGCAGATCCATTGCCCCCGCCTACGCCACCGTAATTCGCCGCGGAGTAAACATAGTTGACCTTTGTGCGGGCCCGGGCATTCGGCAGAACGCAAATGGCCGTGACCCTTGCCCACTCGAAGCTCTCCTCGAAGACGTCCTTAAGTAGGGTCGGGACGTGGATGCTGTGCATTAGCTTCAGGTGGCGTTCGATGCTCCACACACTCAGGTCCCCTGTTTGTGAGCAACTGGTGCAGAGAACATTCGCGTAGTCACTGTTGGAGATGATGTCGAATCCCAGTCCGGGTGCTGCCAATGCCGGGTTTGTGGCGTAGGTGATGGACAGTGGCACATTCTGCGTGTACTCGCCCTTGACAAAGGGACACAGGGGTGAGTGTCTCTCGTGTTCGCTCCACGGCTCGTCGGTCTTCTCCCAACAGACGAGACACACGTTGCAGGTGAAGCACATGGCGCGATCCTCACCGGAGGAGGAGGGCTGGTGGTAGAAGCCCGCCTGGGCCATCTGATCGGGCAGCGCCCACTTGTAGTCCATGTGGGGCCACTTCTCAAACGTCTGGCGACGCAGTGCCTCCGAGTGCATTAGCACTCGCTGGAAGTTGCTGAAATTAAAGTAATCCGGCAGGCGAGACCCCAGCATCATTTCGGTGAGGCGCTCGTTGATAGCAGAGGCGATGGCCAGCACAGGGATGTGGCGCTCCAGACGCTTCAGCATGATGACAACATTGCTGGCCACCAGCTTGAGGCTCGAGTAGGTCACCTCCAGACAAATGGTATTCCACTAAAATAGCAGAGAATATCACTTCTGAACCAATACATATATTAGAGGGCAAAATCTCACCCGCTGGGCCTTGATGCCTTTCTTGGCATTCTGCTGCGCCTGGTTGATCTTCAGGGTGAGCTCGTTGCTAATGTCGCAGGGACACTCCAAGCCCTCGCTCTCCAGCTCGATGATGCAGTTTTGAAAGATGATCGCCTCGGAAAGGATAATCTCCAGCTTGATGTATTCGTCGCTCTGCCCAATCGGCGCCTGCAGAATGGTGTCCAGCAGGAGGACGCCATTGTAGTCTCCACGCAGTCCAAGGTTATGGCCATCCCAGAACAAGATCTTATCTTGCAATGGCATATAGCGCCCATTCACGATGTGGTCGCCTTCAAGGGAAAGCCAAGGAAGAAATATAACGTACATTAGAGCAGCCACTTGACTCATTCAAAGCTAATTTCATCAGAAAAAATAAGTGACTAATGAACGGTTTTAGTCCTCCTTAAAAATGTGTATATACTTATTTTATTTATTTATTATTAAAGGTAGAGAAGTTTACAAAACTAGACTAACTTAGTTGGTAAAGCGCTGGGAACAAGGCCTTTATGATATGGTTTTTTAGTTTAATTACATATTACAATGAAGTTAGGAAAAACCAGGGGTTTCAGCGGACACGGATGTTAATCTCACTTTTGAGCGGAACATTCCCGAAAAAAAACACTTTCGTAGGAGCTTTTAGAGCCGCAAGGGGGGCGGGTGGTGAGGGTCATCAAACAGAACTGCGTAATAGAAGCAAAAACAAAAACAAAACGCTTGCTGCTGGCAGTTTTCCTAATCGGAAACAATAACAAACGCGTTGCGATAGGACGAACCGCAGCAAACCCGGATTCCACGGGAATCCACTAACTGGATGGAACTATCACGCCGCCTTTACGGATTTTGCCCAAAACAAAGAGGTTTCTTCAAAATTGATGCCAAACGCATACACAAAAACGGCCGACACACAAGCTGACGACGGGTGGGCAAGTGCAAGGCAATTACATACAGAAATGCAATACAGTGGCCCCTGAGTAAGGCCAACCTAATTTAAGAGAATGTCTAAAAAATGTTTTATGTCAAGAAGAAAGGAAGCGGACAACGGACAGCTGACTTCCGACTAAAATTTTAATACCCTACCCGGGTATAACAATATAAAGATTTTGTAAGTTGGAGGTAAAAATATAATTATACTTATATATAAAAACAGAACTCTACAACTCAACGCCAAACAAAGCAATTTATTAAACATTTCGGAGTAAAGCTGCTTTTTTTTTCTCTCTGTATGGGTTCTAATTCGCAGTTCTCCACTGTATTGACATTTGCCTGGGCTTGTGTGCGTGCATGCATGTGTATGTGTGACTATTTTTTCCCCAACTTCCTCACCATTGGTGCCGAGCACGTAGGTCTGCAGAATCACACCGGAGTTGGCGTCCAGGACCTTGACGAGGTTGCCGCAGTCGAAGAGCAGGAGCACGTTAAGCTGCGGATGATACAAGATGTTGCGCATCTTGAAAGGAGCGTCAGGGAGCTCCAAGTAGCCGTCCTGCTTGAGCACTCGCTTCGGCTCCGTGGCCATTCCGGGAATGCGGGGCTCCGAGTGGCATGCACGCGCCACTGCAGTTGTGTGTCCTGGATCCGGATTCTCTGGATTTTTTACAATTCTTGCTTCGGAAGACACAGCGCTGCGCTTTTCCTTTTGCCCTGTTTTTGACAGATGTGGCCATTCGCCGTGTCGTGTCGTGTCGCCTAAATTTGCGAATTGTCAATGGCAATCGGCGGCAATTTGAACAGGAGTGTGGGTTCAACGATAAATCAGCCGAATAAATACATTTAACGAGAACGAAATATTTTGGAGAGGTATTGAAATAGAAGAGACCGAACAGGCTGGGCTGCTGGTATTACAATATTTCTTCGAACACGTATCTGAACAATACAAAGTATCTTTAAAAGATACAAGATACAAGATACAAATACTAAATCTATCGAAAACGAGGCACCAGCTGCGTCGTGTTTTTTAGGTGATACTGTTTTTAACGCTATTGGTCACACTGATTATTGTGATACGAATTATTTCGGTGAAGAATTGTTTCCCTAATCGACTCAAAATGACCGAAGCACTTGAAGCAGTACCCCTGGTTAAAATCAGTCCCCAGGGGATTTTTAAATATATTCTAATCAATGTCGCTGACGGCGATTCGATCAAGACTGTAGTTCGCGGCTTTGACGATTGCGAGTGGCATGGTAAGTCTTACATATTTTCTGGTTTGGGACATGCTAAACTAAAGGATTCTTCTAGCCGACATTTTTGAACGGGAGGAGACGATTTTCATGGCATCCAAGCTCAAAGCCGAATGCATTGGAGGTGGACGCATCGAACACGATCCTGAGAAGAAGTATATGAAGGTGTACGGGTACTCTCAGGTATGTACCCGGTCCCCGCAGCCCGTTTTTGTTTTAGACCTTACTAAAGCGATTTTTTCTAGGGATTTGGAAAAGCGGACCATAGTCAGAGCAAACGAATCTTGGAAACAAAGTACCCGGACTACAAAATCGAAATCTCTGATGATGGGTACTAGCGGCTCTAGTGGGCCGTGACATTTGTGAGCAGAGCAATAAAAGTGTTGATTTTTCATGAAAAATCAGTCTTCCTCTAGTTGTGTCTCCGTTTGTTCTAAATTTTTTGGCATCCAAATTATTTAAATTTTTCTAAAAACAAAAAAAAAATATATTGTACTCTTTAGAATATGAAATTGTTAAAGAAACTTGTCCTGCTTCCACGATGTGTTCTCCCTTTGCGTAAGCTTAAAAGCAGGAGAGCTGTGCTTGAGGCTGAACGGTTTCTTGTTCTCTTTAGAAAAAGGTTTTTCCACCGATTTGCCCAATCTGTTAGGCATTCCTAGAGTTAAGATACCGGAGGGCCAAACTCGTTATTTATTGCTTATGGCTTACTCGCATGGCTATACGAAGTTTGGAAGGACCATCGTCCGGGCCGCTGATGTTAAGAATCACTGTGAGTCGAAGGGAACTACATACGTATCCTTTACTGATTTCACATGTGGTATTTTTCAGTGGAAATATTCGACCAAGCTTTGGAGGAATTGGAATCGGGGGGAATTTGCGCGAAATGTCTTGGCGGTGGAATGATTGACAATGATGTGAAGGGTAAAAAAATACGAATATATGGCTCAAGTCAAGTAAGTTAGCATGATCGTGTTGGAGCAACTGTGTTAATAGTTCTTATGACAGACTTTCGGGAATGCTGACCACTTCAGGACAAAGAATATATTACAGTCCTGGTCCGCATACAGGGACTTCCAAATTGTGGTCAATTAATAAGCTTCGACAATCTCTTACGAAATAAAATGGCAAACGCACTGCAACAACTAGTTTTATTTCTGAATTTAAGCGTCAGTCTCTAAAATATGGTTTGCTTTAAAAATAAAATGTACAAGCATAAAGGGATCGAAAAATATCTATTGATTCTGGCAAAAACTAGGTAGCCTTGGTTCAGGAGCGGTCGGCGGCTAATGTAGGACCAAATCTAATGTGTATTATTAGTAAAACAAATTTCAACTGTAGGGAATACAAGATTTGTTTTCTTAATTTTTTAGTTTTATAATCGTTAGACAGCCCGCAATATTATATTTGGAAGATCAATCCATAGAGCCATGACTTTTTTGACACCTTTAAAGTTGAAATTCAAGTCGTATGCCATGCACAGGTTCAGTCGAACTGGAGCTGTCCTACTGTTTAGGCCACTGATTCGGAAAGTAGTTTCTAAATTATCTTTTATAAAAAATTTTTTAAAAAATGAGAAACCTAAAATTGTTGGTACCCATCTCCCAGATTGTTTGCCCTGCTCGCATGCAGAGCGTTTCAAGGGTAAACGCTCTTTTGTTAAATGTGCCAAGAGTCCAGATCACATCGGGAAAAAATCAATATCTTTTAATGGTGATCCATATTCATGGACAAACGAGATTCGGCAGGACGATCGTCCGTGGAGACACCGACAAAAGCCATGGTTAGTTGGCAGAGTCCCGTCAGCGTTATATTTATTTAATTACTTTTCAGAGGACATTTTTGAGGAAACCAAGGAACAAATGGATGAGATTGGCATATGCACCAAGTCCCTTGGAGGCGGGTTTATAGAAAACACTGAGAAAAAGAAGTTGATCCAGATTTATGGATGCTGCAAGGTGAGTAAAAGGCTATGGTAAAGAAACTAAGATTATTGAGTGCCTCAACAGACGTTTGGGGAAGCGCCTCATGGAAGGACCAAGGACATCTTGCTTTCGTGGACCAAATATCAAAATTATAATATCCTCGTGCGCAAATAAGAATAAAGCTCTGTAACGACTTTTATATTACTGCCTATTTTTGTTGAACAGTGTTGGTAAGCTTCTCAAAAATTTGGTGCAGAAATCGTTCTGTCGGCGACACACAACCCGCGGATCTGGCCACACTAACGGATATTTTGTAAATAAATTGCCAGAACCCCGAAATGAATTGTTGCATTTGCCAGTTTTCTGTGCGCGCCCCCAAAAACATACACACTGAGACAGTCGGGAATCCGCCGGTTCTGATCAGTGATCTGGTCCTGCAATGCACCAAGGGCACCGACTACGTCCTGGCCAAGGAGTCGTCGATGATATGTAAGAAGTGCAGCGAAAAACTGACCCGATACCACAAATCAATACAAATCGCGCGCAAGCTGCGCCAGGAGATCCTGGAACTCATCCACAGCCCCTTCCTTGCCAAGGACCTAAACCATTCGCCGCTGAAGGATGATGCGGTGAAGGTCGAACGCATAGCCAAGTTCGATGGAAATATTGAGGAAGCCGTCGACTTCGAGGAGCAGGAGTTTGAAGAGGAGGAGGAGGAGGAGGGCGGGGAAGACATGGATAGCGCCACGGAGACGGAGTTAGTGCACCAAGGTACTATTGAGGAGGTAGTGGGGGAGGACGAGGAGCACACCTTTGTACTTAATGAGGCAGACGAAGAAGGCGAAGATGAGCAGTTCCAGTCGATGGACCTAGAGTTAGATATTGATAACGAGATAATCATAAATGATGAGGCCACGGCCACCCAAGAGGAGGTCGTGCCGCAGACAAAGCATGAAGCAGAAGATGCTGAATTCTTCAAGGAGGACACCATGAGTGAATTCGAAGACCATCTGGACGGCACAATAGAATATATAATATCTGACGCCGAGGACCACGAGCAAGACTTGGACAGTTCAGGTGACTACATAGTGAACATCCAGTGCCCAAGCTGTCCAGAGAAGTTTTCTAGCCGGCGCGCCTACAATGCCCACACAAAACGCGAGCACTTTCCGGGCTACGTCTGTGATCAGTGCGGCAAAACCCTACAGTCTTACTCGGGATTCATTGGCCACCTGCAGAACCACGAGCCAGTGAAGCAGTTCGCCTGCCCCGTCTGCCCGGAACGTTTCAGCCGCAAGTTCAGGCTGAAGCACCACATGGCCTGGCACACCGGTGAAACGCCCTATCAGTGCGAGGTATGCTCCAAGCGGTTCGTTCACAAGGTGGCTCTCTACAAGCACAAGATGATCCACGACAACGAGACGAAACGGCTGGAGTGCCAGGTTTGTGGATTCAAGACCCGCACCAAGGCTCATCTGGAGCGGCACACTCGCTCTCACACGGGCGACAAACCCTTTGCTTGTCCCGTATGCAATAAGCGTTTCTCCCAGATGTACAACATGAAGGCCCATCTGCGGGAGCACGAGAGCCCGGGCACCAATCGCCACCGACGCTTCCACTGTACGAAGTGCACGCACACGTTCATAAACGAGCAGAACTACATAAGCCATGTGCAGCGCGACGACTGCACGGCAGTCTAGCAATTGCACGTCCAATCGAATATTGTACATATATGTTTAGATATTTCCACAGGGGGTTCAATTCAATTCAAGAGGAGCATACAGCTACAGTACCCTTGCATGACTACCATCCGGCTGGAGGGAAACAGCTCAAGGAGTGCATTACGTTCTATCCGTGTACTTTTTTTATTAAATCTATATGCATTTTGCTCACAAATAAAATATGTTTGATATAATAAATTTATCCGTTATTTGCATATTTCTGCGGTTATTTCAGTTTTCTTAAAAAAATATGTATAGTATGGGGGGTGTATGCATTAACTTATTTAAATAAATCAATCGACCGACCGGTCAACGTGTCGCTGGACTGGACTGATCGCTCTCGAAATGAAATGTACCTAATGGTTAATGGTAAATCAGTGGATGCAATTGACGCAATTACAATTAAAATACGTTGTATAAATACATACATTTTAAGTGTGTGTTGTGTGTATGCTGTGTGTTGTGTTATAGATTATACAAAAATAAAACAGATTATCTTTTGATTTTTGTCGAGTTGAATATAACTTTGTTAATATCATCATCATATATCATCGTAAAATGCACATCACAAAAATATTAACAAAATTTATTGCAGGCAGTCCGTAGTTAGCAAAAAGTAACAAACAAATCCCAATCGAGGAAAATCCATACCTTAAATCTTCTCAATACATTCGATTTTGTGCAGTTCCTAATAATCTCTCAGCCCTCTCAGTCTCGGGCCCACTCAACAACCCAGCTGCGACTGATTTTATAAGGTATAAACATAAATACAGGACATATTCATGTGGATTCAAGCTCAAGCTTCAAATAGTTACGGATTTACAAATTTAGAACCATTTTACGTGGCTTACATAGATCAGTTTTGGTTGTACAGAAAAATACTTTGCCCCAACAGAGAGTAGTTTGTGATGCTTACAAAAGCTTATCGCTATTGATTTTCGGTATTAGCTTCTCCAGTGGGTAGGTGGCCCTAAGATGCGTCGTACACTTGGTGCGTTCGCTTTTTCGTTCCTTTTTTACCGAGTGCATCGTCGGTGCATCAAACCACTCGCACTCCCAATTCGCCTTAATACAAAATCTACACTAAATTCCTAATATTAATCGGATGGCTTGACAAGACCCATCGCTTTGTCTCCAAACAAGGGCAGTATGTCGGAGTCATTAACAATCTCTTCCTGAATCACTGGACTGTCCGGGTCCTCGCAGTGCGTCTTGAAGAAGAATCTAAACAGCAAAAGATCGAGATCCAGATGTAAGAAAGTGAGTTATTCGATTGCCGATTAAATACTACCTAAAGTGACCCCTTCTTGGCAGATAATCCTTGAACTGACGCAGGGTAGGCTGGGTACCGGGTATTTTTATTCTGTACGGAACTGGCTCCTCGCAGAATGAGAACACAACGATCGTCTCCGGTGGCTTAGCCGGCAGAGGCGGAGGCGCCGCCGCGGTTTGAAGCTGAAGCTGGTGCGGATGTGGCAGGCTGATGCTACCGCCGCCGGTGCTGCTGCTAAAGGAGGCGATAGGCGGTTGCGCCAAGTGTCCCTGCTGCATAGGCGGCTGGGTATATCGACGAGAGCGTCGCGGCTCGTCTTCCAGTCTTCGTTTGGCCTCCTCCAGCTTCGAGGCTGTGCTTGAGCCGGATCGAGTGCTTTAAAAGATTAAAATTTGTTATTTTATGTTACAATAAAGAGTTTTTGGTTTCAGGGTAACTCTTCGCCCTTCTTACCTCGATTCTTTGTACTTGGTAACAGTGTCGGCCGAGAACATGCTTATACCACTGTCTGTGTTCATGGAAGGCCATTTATTTGTCAACTTCCTCGAGGAGCAGGAACTGTGATCCGGCATGGATTTCGAGTGCTTCATGGAGTGCCCGCCTGTGGATAAAATCTTTGTTAGGCCACCGATTCTATTATCAGGGATTTTATTAGCCATACTTAGGCTCATGGCGCCATCGCTGACCATGCCCGAGTCATGTGTAGCCGTGCGTCTTCGCGACGGAATTGGCGGGCAGGGTGACATTGTTCCTGGTGAGCGGTGCGGCGTTTGGTCCTTCCACACCCGCGACACATGCTGGTCAAGAATGTCTTGGTCGTTGTCCTCGTCCAATGCAAACTTCTCCCGAATCGCTTCGGCGAAGGCGCGATCGCTGGCGGTGGATCGTTCATTGGTCAGCAGCGCAGCTCCGGGATTCCGCTGAAAAAGTGTACCCCCCTATTAATCAAATGTACAACATACAACTAAAGGTGATACATTAAAGAATATTAGTCTTTCTTTCTAATTCAAGAAGACCTGAATTGTAAGATATGAGTTACTGATTTGTAGCCGATTACTTATAGGGAAGGGAGGGGACCCAAACTCGGGGTATCTGCCCTGCTCAAGGGTATGCAAATGTAATGCTTAACACGAAATATTCACGAAAAACTCTATTCTATACAAATGGAGCTTACCGACCTGTACTGAATGTTAAAAAACCAGCCACTTCATATCTTACCTCGCGAGCTCTTTCCTCCAGGTCACGCTTTCGCTTTACTTCTTCCAGCTTAGGTATAAGAAGAGCCACAAAGTCGTCCTCCTTCAGTGGTCTGTGCTCGTTCGAATGTAGTCGTTGTGTGCGAGGTATAACCTGTTTTTTGAATATTCAAAAGTGAAATGAATATTGAAAATTAGTAACATAGCTCCTTGCAAAGGGTAGGGTCTTTGCATCTATATTGTTTTTTAATCAAAAAAAGAATAAATCTATGAGCAATGTTTACCTGAAAGGTATTGGTCTCCTTATTTGCCATCGCGCTCTGGCGAATCGCCTTGCTCTCTGTCGAGCTGTGTCTGCGTTGTATGTACGGGCGACCGTCCCTGAAACGAGGATGTATCATTAGTCAGGCGAGCTGTCAGAGAGGAGTCCTGTCTTCTGCAACGTGGCATTCATCTATCATCTTGTCATAGTCGCTGGACGGCCCACTCCGTTGATGCCCCTACTCACATTGAACAACTGGAGAGCGACATGGTGTCAGAGTCGGTACGTCCGCCGGAGCTGACGCTGGCCCTCTCCGAGTCAACCCGCGAATTCGGCACATAGGAGGTGTTCGTGCTCGCTGTGTACACATAACCGTGGGCACTATTCGCATGCAGATCAGATGCAGACCGCGAACACAACCAGGACATATAGTTTCCATGCAATGGCGTCCAATTGTGTGATCGTGTTTACATGTGTGTGTGTGGGAAGGTCGTCGGGGTCCACAAACAAAAATGTTCAAATCAAAAAGGAGAACGCAATGAAAATTCATCAGGTCAGTGGTAGTGTATCGGAAACATATGTACAATGCATATGCGGCAATGTAGAGTTGTGGGGCAGGTGCACGGTATTCAGTATGTAGTAGTATGCAGGTGGGTGTGAGGCGTGCGTATTTGTGTGTGTTTGAGAACGTTCGTAAAGACCATACGTGAAAAAGTAAAAGAAACAAAAGTAACAAATTAGGAGTTAATCACAGAACATCATAAAATTTAATAAGAACTTAAAAACAAAAATGAGAGGATGGTGGATCGCGTCTGATGTACAAATGTGTCGGATTAAATAACGAATTTTGTGAGTGTTCCTTAAACCTATCTTATTTTTGGCTTTGAAGTTAAAACTAGTATATTTTATATTTATTTAAAAATTATACAATATGCTAATTCTATGTGAGCCTAAATCGCTTAGAGCTAAGAGCTAGGACTAGGAGCAAGAAAAATATGTAAACATACCCAGGAGGTCGAATTTCCAGTCTTCTTTTCTGTGTTGCTATTAGTAGGTCCCGCGTCAGTCGTATTGGGTAGTCGGGAGCTCGCGCCCCTGCACCTCCGGGTCCACCCCCATCCTGCATTTGCACCTTCTCGAAGTCGTCGCAGAGCGACAGCACCGAGTCCTCGTGCAGCGTGGGCAGCGTGGAGCTGCGTGGCAGTGTGTCGGTGGCGCTGATGGAGCCGCTTGAACTGGCCGACGTCGAGGGACCGTACACACTGCCGCTGGCACTACACGTGCCAGCTGGCGGCCCGCTCACGCTGCTCACTGGCAGGTTAATGAAGGCACCGGGCGGCACTAGCTGCTGGAGCTGGCGCTGCTGTTGCTTTGCAGTAAATGCAGGTAGGGCGCACGCCCCGACGAGGCTGCTGCCACCACTACCGCTGCTCCCGGCACTGCCCGATCCCGTCGCGCCGCTGCTGCTGCAGCGCTCCTGTAATGCGGACATTTGCTGGATATATTGGATGTACATATCCGAGCACAGAAACGTGGGGTAAATGTTGTCTCGGATGGTAACCTCCACATGGTGTTGCATAGGATCGAAGATGTGCGGGCTAAGCGAGATCTCGGGGTTCGTCTTGATTGCCTTGATCTGGGCGCGCAGGTCATCAGAGATAGACAGCTTACTCTTGCGCAGAAATCTGGATAATCGGGCGGAGGGATCAGTATTAAAAGTTATATGCTAATTAAAGACATCGTAGCAAGGCAATGCTCTACTTATACTGCATTCCTTAATTGGTGATATGTTATTATTAAGCAATCCTACCTGTAGATTGCTCCGATTATCTGCTTGACCTTCTCCGGGTCCGTCTGCTGCTTGAGGCCCTCGCAGGCAAAATAGAAGTTGAGGTGGTCATTGTAGGCGGGCGCCTCTTCTTCGACGTACTTCTTGAAGAGCTCGACCCCATCGCGATCCTCCAGCAAGTGGTTCAGCGTCCGAGCCCAATTCAGATAGGATGGCGGCGAATTCTTCGAGGTCTCTACTGCCCCTTCGGTCATCTGATAGACGGACAATTTGAGCAAAGCCCCTTCTATAGAAGAAGTCATCTCCTTACCTTTTTAACACGGCTCTCTTCTCCGGGAACAGGTGGTCGTGGCCCACTACACTCATTATCATCATTTTTCCGGAGTCCCGATGATGGTTGGACACTCATGCCACTCCACAGGACGAGCGATCGCTGCTAACTATTTACCCTACTCTAAGAATACCTGTTGTGATTAGCGAACGATCTTGTTCTCTTTTCTCTGGTTCAAATCACAAACGCCCGTATTTTACAAATAGCTTGGACATGGAAGTTGTGCTCTTTTTCGAATTTGGAAGGCAATTAGACAAGGCCTGCAAGGAAAGTTAAAAAAAAAGAACCAAGTATAAAATAAAAGCCACGGACTGGAAAAACAATAACATCAATCCCAAAATAGAAGTCCTTAGATTTAAACAAGAAATGGATCTAAAATTGCACTACCATGTCTGAAATTTGACCCAACCAATTTTATACTATACTATTTGGGCACGGACATTTCAATCGAAATTACAATCGTAATTGGAGCTTTAATGGGAATTCCTCAAGGATGCGGAAGCCAAATGACCACTTAGTGCCACCTCAATGGCAGCTCCTTTCTTATCAAAGGGCACACACAAATTGCAGAAGTGGGAATCGAACGGCGGCCATTTTGAGAGCGCTTTTGATTGGTTGACGGCATCGACCAATGCAGCATTCGGGGCCCATGATAAGGGGAAAGAAGTAGAAAAAGGGAAAGGACAATAATCCATTATGTACAAAATTTGAACACAAAACACGCACACACACACACTCACCCTTATACCGGGGATGGTGATGAGGACTCTACAAACCCTGCTTCCACTGGCGTTGTCTGACGCGTTTGAGAGCTGGCTAAAACTAGAAAGTAAGGCATCGCATCGCGCTTTTGGTAAATCAAAAATATTCCCTTTTTCTTTGCCTTTCCGCACCCCTTACACCAGCGGGTAGGACATTGCAACCAATTCAGCTATTTTCCAGTAAAATCGCATAACAATTTAAAGGTCATTTAAAATACATTTACACAACGCGTCCATGGCTGCTATAAACTATTTGAAAATCGTAAATATCCACTATATTTTAGGTAAAATGCAAATATTTTGAATAACGCTCAATTTCGACATATGTATATACTTTGAGACAGAAAGAAGACTATATGAAATGATACATTCAGATAGCTCAAAAAGAAAGGGATGTGTTTACGTAAAAACAGACTGACACAAATGGTTAGATAAAATGGGCTATTGATATTGGTTAGGAAAATAAATACCTTTTAGAGTCTTCTAGCAAATATATTATTATATTTACTCGCAGATATAAATAGCTAGTTTCACTCGTAATTTACGGGCATCTCTGGAGCAGACGGCTGCCATCAACAGAGCAGCGACAAATACAACAACCAGGACCAAGGGACATGAGCAAAAGCCTGCCAATGTGAAAAAACGAAGACTGGAAAGAAAGGGGTTGAAGGGGAGGTAGGAAGGTTCGAACTTGAGCCGAACAGCACTTTCCTGCCAGTCGTGACTTACAAACACACATCCGCACACAGGCGCAGTGATACAAGGGGATGAATGCTGTTGTTTGTTGTCGCTGAAGGGCCAGGACAAGCGAACAACTGAACAGCCACAAAGCCATAGCGCCGGAGGAGAGCCAAGGAAATTCATCAAAACGCCATTTGCATAGCACTCCATTACGGCGAAAAGAACAAAGACATGCACAATTAAAACGTTCGGCACGACAAAGGAGCCAAGCTAGAGAGCGACTACTACGAGCCAGCAATGGGGTTTTTCTAGGAGAAGGACAAGCTTCGGCCACTTGATGGGAGCATCTTTCAGTGGCCATGCCATAGAGAAGACAATGGCGACAGGCAAAGGAAATTAGTGTCTCCTTCGCGCATCTTATATTCCTTTCATGCAGTTTCCTTTAGGGTTATCAAATGCCGACATCAAACAGTCAGCTCGACCCTAATAATAATCATAATCCCTACTAAAAGTATCTTGTTGACACTTTATAATTCGAGCTCTATGCAGCCTTCAAAAGCTGAGTTTTTCATATAGACAGCATTGCATTATGCTGATATATTGACTAAAGCAAACATAAGTTATTAGATGGCATTTCCTATTATCCGGGACCCTATATAATATATATGTATATACAGTCTTGATCAGCATCAACAGCCAAGACTATCCAGGCCAAGCTCTTAATTTAAAAGCCATCTTTTCCAAACTTTGCACAGTCTTCTTTCTAGGGCAGATAGTATTTTAGTCGGAATGGGTCAAATCGGAAGACTACATATTATATTGTATACATTTGTATGTTATCGGTTAGATAGGAGCGATATGCACATTTATATCTAAATCTAGCAAAAACAGACAGAATATGGTTTAACCGATTCTCAATTCTAATTGGCAAAGCACTCATCTAGAAAAATCAAAGTCACACAAAAAGTACAAAAATTGTGTGCCATTTTAATAAAATTAAACTAACTTCGGAAAACCGAAATGTTTTTATTAGATTAACAATTCAGCATATTGAAACTTCAAAATAATTGGAATAATTATTGTTTTGTTTTTAATTCTATAAACTACAAATAATGGGTATGATATTTAAGTGATTTATATATGGCAATTGGCTAACTTCTGTCTAAAACTATAATACTTTTCAAGATTGTAATTAGTTAAATCCTTTTTTTTGACTAGTTATGGGATTTATACCCTTTCAGGGTACTATAATTTTAGTCACAAATTTACACCATAGTGTATTATATAGTTATTTCCGACTCTAGTGTATATATTCTTGATCAGCATCAAAATCCGAGTCGATCAACCAATGATCGTAGGCTGTGAATAAGCCTCTCGGTTTTTGAGCTATCAGAAATATTTATATTGCAGGTAGTAGATCGGACCAGAACCGAGAACCATATCATATAGCTGCCAATGGAACGATCGGTAAATGTATAGCAAAACCTAAAACTGAAAATGTGTACACTATAAATATAAAATGTGTGTTTTATGTCTCATGTTAGGTTTTCTTTTACAGTTTTAAAATATTTTATTTGCTAACTGCAAAAAGTTTTTATAATTAAAATATATGTAGCTGTGATAAGTAAATGCAAGCAGCAACTGTATATAAACATCAGTTTAATTTTTGGCTCATCTAACTTCGAGATTTTTAGCAACGTAAGTTTAATTAATTTAATTAAATTCGTATATTAACTTGTGTATGTTTGTTAAAAAGTTGTTCCTACTTTGGATTCAATATTTTAATTAATATTACTTGATACTTATTAACTTTCAATAAATGTTGTGGCCATTGGTTACCGACAGCTTCGTAGGTAAATATACTACTGTTCTCCTATAGTTTTTGTGGAAACACTCCATTCATTGATATTAATATTTGCCCAATATAAATATGTGCTGCACTATAATCTAATTACATAGTGCAGAGATTGTACATCCGCGTAGACATGGTTCCCGTTATGTCGACCAAACAATATATTATTTTCATTTACGTTGAATCGTAGTTCAAGGGGAATTATGAAATTATTAAGTAAATCCTTATTGATTTCAGATGAGGGAGAGAGGAGTGAGTTCCGAAAACAACAAAGGGCCAGGAGCGGAGCTGCTCGAAGGCAGATGATTATTTTTCTATCCCTATTGGATTGCATACGCATGACCGGATAATTCCCTATTCTTTTCAAGCTATGAGTTCGGATGATTGGCAGGTAAGTCTACCGTAAGATAAGGGCTTGGCAACGGATGCCGCAAGCTATTCTCACAGTTTTTCTTGCAAACGGTTACCAGGTGTCCGCAGCACTTTGAGAATTTCGCTCTTGTGCGAGTCCCAAGCCAATTGTCGTCTCCTGCGGTAGGCTAGGTGACATAAGATTCCTGTCGGCGCACTCACAATACCTCGACAGGTAGCTCACTTCAAACTCCAACGACTTTAAGGTTTATTATCGACACTAATTGTTGACAAATCTTGCCACGAGCCACGGAGCACAAGGTATTCGGTGACAATGCCTTGACGAGCTGAGAGTCAAACTGAACGACTCCCGACTTTGGAATCCTTAATCTTTAATTCCGCGTCGTCGGCGCTTGCAGATTTCACCCTGACAGTCACGTATGGGCGCATGGGATGAATCAGACAGAGTATATAAACCATTTCGGGGTTGCCCGGTTTTTTACTCTCTTGCCGCCACCCGCATCCCCATGCTTTTCCATTCACAATTGTTGCATGCAGACATTCAGGGAGGCGATTACGTCGTTTATATACGGATATTGAATTTAATTGAGAAATCAAATACAAATTTGTTTTAAACAGTTGCAGCATTCTGTCTTTAGGGTACACTTTTATTGAAATTGTACTAACCACGTCCAAAACAGAAGTAGAATTGATCACTTTGTGTTGCATTTGATCCTAGTTGCATCTACTTTGCATTTGATTTTCGTATCTAAAATAATTATTTGCCAATTGATGACATTTCTGTCATTTCAGTACCCCTGCCGTGCGGAGCTTCCGACCAGCTATCTGCGGACGACTGTCCAGCATAGGAGCAGCGGTGTTGGTAGGGGAGACGGCCTCCAATATAATGATGCTTCATATACATTGTACAAAAACTCTCTAAAGATGTACCTTTCAAAGTGTCCGTGGTTGCGGCGGTGCGAGCGAGACAACATAGAGGAATAGGACTCATTGTGTGTGCAACCAATATGCGCAGGTCCAGGCGCAGTCCCCAGACCCTCCGATACGGATCCTGGCCCACTGCCAGAGACCCAATACAAGAGGCGAGCCTTACGCCCATCCTGATTGTACATAAGCAGAACAGCAGAGTTGGGTTTTGTTCGCTGCTTCTTCGAATGCTCAGATGGAGTAAGGGTTGCGCTCGAAAGCCCACTCTATTGTACCTACAACCCTCTGGAGCTATTCGCTCTCTCCTGTCCTTCCTGGCAGGCAAGCAGCGGCAACCACCATTAACTCAAAACAAATGTGGAAATTATTTTCGAATAAGTTTGAGAACAATGCAAGGGGGAGGGGCGGCCGGCAGAAGCCTCGTTTGCTTTTAATGAGGTTAAGACCGCCATTGCTGCGAACAGCCAGCTTAACTGAACGTCTGATGCCGGTCTAGACTGCCAGCGAACTAAAAGGGGGAACTCATTACGCCTGCGAGTATTGCCGAAGGTCAATAGTGGCACTTTGTTAGTGGCAAAGTTGCCAGCAAGCCAGAAAAGTTGCTACGGAAGCGCACACTTTTCAGGTGCAATCCCCATTGCAAGGGCGCCGATGTTGCAACTCGGGTTGACTGGATATGTAAGGTGCAATTATGTTAACAGCTTTTAGAGACGAATTAAGTCTCTTTTCTACCAAATTACTTTGAATAAAAAGTATTCCTCTAATTTAAGGCAGTGTTTGCCGCTGATCAAACCAGATGTCTGTTTTCAGATTTTATATTATAAATTTAATATACTAAAAAGTATATGAATTCATTATAATACACGTACATATGTATCTATTTATATTTATAGGTTGACTAGATAGTAACTTCGGCACGCCGAACTTTGTGTAGCGCTGCCGCTTGCAATTGGATTTCAATTAATTCATTTCAAGGGTAATTATCACCAAAGGTCATACACATTTTCGGCATTCAATTTGAATTAATAAATAAAATAAAATATTAAAACATAAAACAAATACTCCATTTTTCATTTGGGTTTTCCGCTAGTTTGGCGGAAGAACCGGTAAAAAAAATAGGGTTTCGCACCCATAACTTATAAACGACTTAATCTAGAGATATATAGCGGGTCGTTAAAGAACTAATTAAAATTGCTATATACTTTCGGCATTACGCTGTTTTCAAACTAAAAACTTCCAACAGCGTGCGGAATTAGAAAATTGATAAATTACTTGTAATTTATTTTTGGTTAATTTAACTATTAAACCTTAAGAGAGTAGGATATTATTTATATTGAAGAAAAAAAATTGTTTTCATTTAAAAACAAGAAGGAAAGCTAATTTCGTGAAGTCAGTTGAAGTTTACAATTGGATTAAAAAGCCGAATTAATAATCGTTGAACTATATAAAGTATTTAATAAAATATTAAATAATGTTATATTAATAAGTAAGGATTATAATGCCGAATATATATATATATATATATAATTTAAACAATCACTGGCTTTTTGGGATCTTATGCTCTTAAGAGACCATAAATAAACGCATTTTTTAAATCAAGACTTTTCTATATTTTTGGACAAACTTAAGTTAAAAATATCATATCTAAGCCCATAAAGCATCAAATTCAATTCGTAAAACTTTTAGCTTAACATATCTGCATACATTTTTAGAAATCCAAATTGGTTCTATTTTACACAATTTTCTTTCCTTTCAAAAAAAAAAATTGTTTTATTTTTTTGCAACATGGCTAGAAAGATTCTCCTGTTGCTGATAATCAAGATTTATAGGGTCGGACTGCCTGAAATTATAAAACCCTTTAAGAAGACTGAAAATATTTGAGTTCTTTAAATAATTTTTAAATTTTTATATAATTTTGTTGGACAAATTAATGTTTAAAAATATCAAAAAGCATCAAATTCAATTCTGACATTCATTCTATGCTAGTTTTTTCCTAGGTTAACAGATCTGCATACTAGATTTAACATTTTAAGAAAACAAATTTTGTTTATTTTTGAGAATTTTAGCGAGCAAACCCTTTATCAAATTTAAAAACAGAAAGTGTTAAACAAATTTTCTTCTGTTAAACATGTTAAGATTGACTCGGTTTTTCATGCTGATCAAGAATATATATGATTTATAGAGTCCGAAATGATTCCTGACTGCATTCCAAGCTTCTGACTAAAATTATAATACTCTGCAAGGGTAAAAAATATATTATATAAACTACAGCGGCAAAGGAGCTGCGTAATTTACATAAGCACACAGATTTATGTATTAAATTTAAATAAATAACGAACATTTCATGCCCGAGCTCGACATAGGCACTTTTACCACAACGGCCCGCAAGATATTTAAAATATTTTCCTCAAAAATACTCACAGTAGTTCAGAAATAAAGAATAAAAACATCAATAAATGTTGCATAAAACATTATTTTAGTTACACAGCTGATTTCCTGAAGCATACTTTCCCCAAGGACTCTTAAGTGTCCTCACCTAGTGAATGTTGTAGATTGAAATAAAAAGTGTTTAAACAAAAAGCTGCCTCATCCATCGTCATTCAGTAGCCAAATAATGGGTACAAGTAATAAAAAGTTTGTTGTATAACTCTTTAACAATTAACTTGACGAAGTTTTAAATATTCTTTATATTTTAGTTTAAAATATCCACAATATTATATATATAAACTGATCGATATCTTTAAGAAATATTTAGTGTGTGCTCAATTAATATTTAATAAGCTTTAAAGGCGGCAATCACGCCACTTTTACTTCGCCCACCACAAGCATACATATCAATGTACATGCCTTTGGGTAACCCTTTGAAATAAAATGCTTGGGGGAGACAAAAATACTTCTCGCACGGCTGAATACAATTTACGGTTAAATAAATATAAAGAATGCATTTGAAGATAACTTACGAATATTAGGGGTCTGAAAGCACTAGCCGGTTTAACACCAAAGAGAAATAGTCACAGCTTGAGAACATATAAAATCAAATTGCTGAGTCCTTCAAGACAGTTGAATCCTTGCTGTACGGTTGATAGAAATGTTCAACTGTATGTTCCACTTATTCGCTTTACTTCCTATGTATGTACCTTATATTATTGGTGATGTACCTAGAATAGGAATAGGAAAACGTTTTAGAATATAATATTTGTAGCGTAATGGTTGTGTAAATAGAGAAATGACCCTGCCTTGTGGTATTTAAATGTACTTTATAAGTTGTTAAATACACTTTCCTTGTAACTTGGTATTATAAGCAAAGAAAGATTTAGTTTTTATTTGCCTGTTTATCAGTATTTCGTTGAACCTGAGGTTCAGTTACAATAATCGGTGGAGGTAATGAATTTTGTCCAGATAAACACAAATCTGTGTTCCAAAGTGCTCCAAGTCAAGGTTTAAAATAAGGTCAAAGGTAACAAATATTTTGACCACTGTTCTTGAAACTAAACTAAAATTAACTACATTTGGCAAGTTTGTTTAAATAATAAAATTACAATCAAATGAGCTGTACAACTTAACAAGATAACTATTCCCTTCAGAACTATTTCCCTACGACAACTTTATATTTTTTTATATTAATATTGCGTTTGTTCTTATGGCATCCATTAAATATAGATTTAATTAAATTAGTATTCAAATTCTATAATCATACAATTTTCTTATATCAAAGTATTGATATTTTTTTAATTCCCGCATATTTTCATTCAGGTAGTTCCAAAACTGGGAGACTACAATCGTGGACATAAGTATTTTGACACAGATTATGGCTTTATTCCAGCGCGTGTCTCTTTGTACTCGTAAAAGTTACGGGATCCATTTTACTTTCCAGTAAGAGATTATATTTAAATCTTTAATAGAGCAAAAGATGTTACTGATAAGTAAATGAACTTCTTTGCTATGTCACGTGATGTGAGAGATCATGCATTTTTGGGTGGACAAAAATATTTTGACATTGCATTCAATCAGTTCTCATTTGTTTCGTGCGCATTAAAGGACGTTGTTTGATATTTATAACTCCAGCTTATAAATCTTTTAGCAGCTTTAATACATTATTTGTCAATTTTCCTAATTTCTGTACCGTTATTTAATGAAAATATGGGTAAAACACGGGAGCTAAGCCAAATCCAGCAAAACAAAATAGTAATTAAGTACCACCTAGGTATTTCGGTCCAGAACCTCTGCATATTTTATAAAATACCCCGTCAAACCATTTACTACCAAATTAACAAACATAAACTGACAATTTCGACGGATAATTTAGTCAGAAAAGGGCGACCACGCAAGACTACGCCTAGACAAGGTCGTCTAATCCTTTCAAAATTTAAAGATAATGTCCTTATTATACCAAAAGCAGCTTCAATGGATGTTCAAAACGATTATGATATTTTAATTAGTAAAAAAACAGTTGAAATATTATTTAAAGAGGCTAACTTTTCTACTTTGTGGCCCGTCAGATACCTTTCATTTCACCTAAAAATGAGTTGAAACGATTAGCCGATTAGGCCGCACTTTCTTGCGAATATTTTTTGGTAATCTGCAGTAAATTTCTTTTTTTAACCATGGTACTCAAAAGGACTCTCATCGGTCCACAAAATTTGTTCCCAAAACGATTGAGGCTGTTAACAAATGATTTGGCAAAGGCTAATCGTTTCAACTCATTTTAAGGTGAAATGACGGGCCACATTAGTAGCAAAGTTAGCCTTTTTAAGTCTTCTTTCAACTGTTTTTCTACTAATTTAAAAATTATAATCGTTTTGAACTTCCATTGAAGCTGCTTTTGGTATAATAAGGACATTATCTTTAAATTTTGAAAGGATTAGACGATCTTGTCTAGGCGTGGTCTAGCGTGGTCGCCCTTTTCTGACTAAATTATCCGTCGAAATTGTCAGTTTATGTTTGTCAATTTGGTAGTAAATGGTTTGTCGGGGTACTTTATAAAATATGCAGAGGTTCTGGACCGAAATACCTAGGTGGTACTTAATTACTATTTTGTTTTGCTGGATTTGGCTTAGCTCCCGTGTTTTACCCATATTTTCATTAAATAACGGTACAGAAATTAGGAAAATTGACAAATAATGTATTAAAGCTGCTAAAAGATTTATAAGCTGGAGTTATAAATATCAAACAACGTCCTTTAATGCGCACGAAACAAATGAGAACTGATTGAATGCAATGTCAAAATATTTTTGTCCACCCAAAAATGCATGATCTCTCACATCACGTGACATAGCAAAGAAGTTCATTTACTTATCAGTAACATCTTTTGCTCTATTAAAGATTTAAATATAATCTCTTACTGGAAAGTAAAATGGATCCCGTAACTTTTACGAGTACTAAGATACACGCGCTGGAATATAGCTATAAGCTGTGTCAAAATACTTATGTCCACGATTGTAGTTGACGCAAAAACAGGCAGACGGACGGAGCGACGAATATGGTTAGATCGACTCAGCTGTTAACGCAGATCAAGAATATATATACTTTGTAGGGTGGAAAATGACTCCTTTACTGAGTCATTTTACTTTTTGACTAAAATTATAATACCACGCAAGGATATATGTACATATGTAATGAATGTCATGCTTATAACCGTAAAAAAGAGCCGTATGTTGAGTTATATATTATATATTATTATATATATATATTTGACGACTCTTCTATCGATTTCCTAATCGTATCGAATCATAGCAATTAATAATTTATGTATTAAATTTGTCCTAAAATATTTTGTTTTTAAGCTTCTAGAGCCGCGTAAGTATACGAACCCAGGATTACTTTTAGACCCCACATATTGTGTAAATATGTCTACTAATAATTTGATTCACTGTCCAATATACATCCAACCAACCCTATAAGCGGACATTATTTAAGTAAAGTTCTGCCAATAGAATATACTTGGTCTGAGTACGAACTAGAATAGTATGATCAGGGGGTATGCAAATTCCGTCATCCGTCCCAACTTCTGTTATGTTGAGTGGTAATTCTATCAAAGGACCTCTCACCCAGCAGACTAAATAATGACATTAAAAAAATGGCTATTTATTTGTAAACGCTTTTACACAAATTACATACCATTAGATTCGTGTTTCCCCGGCTTCACTCAGCTTCAATGAGAAACTGGTCCTGGCAAAATCGTGGCGGCCCGAGCGCTAATAATAAGTGGCGGTGACGAGGTGGGTCTGGACGGGAGTAATTTGATTGTAGCTTTTGCGGCTGGACGCTTCGATTTCGATAACGAACGTGACGAGGAGGATGCTTTCATTTTGATTTGTATGCTCAACGAGGGATATTCGTAACTAACAATTAATGACGATTGCACGCGTGGAAGGACGAGAGTTCAACAAACAAACAAACGTAAACAACAAAATGTGGTAACAAGGCGCAGCGCAGGCACGGCTCGCGACCGGACTAAACGCTAACGAAGGCCAATCGGGGTAGCACCAGCACTTGGTTCTTGATGGGGATCGGGACCCTTGATGGAGCGCCTCTGCCCTCCAGTCCGGCGTTTGGACGAGACGGGTGCGATCTATGCAGCTATCTGTGGCTTGGCTGTGGACATGGCAGGAGTGTTCTCGTTCTCTGGCAACTCTGGTCCCTGGGCCAGAGAGTAAATCGAAGAAAACACCGTCGTCTAAAGCATTTTCGATGTGTTCCCTCCAACGTACAGGAAAAGTGGGGGAAATCGCTCTTCTATTGGTTTTTGGGCATTTAAACACTTTTCTGTCTGCTTCTTATTTTGTGTATTTTCTGTGCTGTGACCTGCTGCTGCCGTTTGATTTTCATGGACGTAATGTTGCGGATTCGTTGTGCTGCAAATGCCTCGATCGCGGACACTTTTCGTGCGCTTCGGCACTGGCTATTTTGCGGTAAATAATATATTTATTTAATGGCAAAACAAAATTTAGTTCGACACAAATGTTAGACGGCAAGACGAACGATTACATGCTAGGGTTGCGTGGTTCAAAATCGAACTAGTTCGATCAGGGCTATCAGGGATGGGAGCTGCGGAACCGGCTGTCGCCTACCAGGGCTGGTTTTGTTTACGGCCATTAATATTAATAATTGCTGTAAAAAACGCAGGACTGCCTTGCGCCTGGAGACGAATAATATAATAATTCGCAATAAAAATATTTATCATAATTTTAAGAGAAAATAACAAAAAGGTTCATATAAATCATGCAACGCAACTCAACGTAACGAATGTAACGTTAACGTAAGATAGCACAGTGTGACCGATAGGAATACATTTTAGTATTTTTCAAAATATCGATATTCGATATACGAAAATAGGAGGAATTAGTAGCCTTTGAAGATATCGATGTATCGCCTTTTTTTGGGGTGTTTCTGACATCCCCACTGGTCACACTCTCTTTTCGCTATTGATTTCCGGCGAGGTCTGTACATAAAAATTAGGCCCACGTGTATTTATTTTTCGTTTTTTATAATAATTAGCGCTCTGCGCATCTGAGTTGACTGCTTTCCATTGAGAGCCGGCCCGGGCCCCTCTGACTTATTACATGTAGTGGTTCGTGACTGCATTGGCGCCGAGAGGACTAATAGGTGTTTTTCATTTCTGTATTGCAGCTCCAAAATGACCATTCGCCCGGCGTACAGACCCAAGATTGTGAAGAAGCGCACCAAGCACTTCATTCGCCACCAGTCGGATCGATATGCCAAGTTGTCGGTGAGTGGAAATTATTGAATTTAATGACAAGTTTCTGATAGCACATATTTTGTTGCCATTGCAGCACAAATGGCGCAAGCCCAAGGGTATCGACAACAGAGTGCGTCGTCGCTTCAAGGGCCAGTATCTGATGCCCAACATCGGCTACGGCTCCAACAAGCTGACCCGCCACATGCTGCCCACCGGCTTCAAGAAGTTCCTGGTGCACAATGTGAAGGAGCTGGAGGTGCTGCTGATGCAGAACCGCGTATACTGCGGTGAGATCGCCCACGGCGTGTCTTCAAAGAAGCGCAAGGAGATTGTGGAGCGCGCCAAGCAGCTGTCGATCCGCCTGACTAACCCCAACGGTCGTCTGCGTTCTCAAGAGAACGAGTAAGCTTAAGATTCATAACGTTGTAACGTCGGAATACAAGTTTGAAACGTTAAAAACACACAAGAGTATGCTTTTTTTGTTTTTTATGGAGAACCGAAGCTCGATTATAAACCAAGGCGTTTGCTGTGTGACTTGTAGGAGTTATTTTGCGGAACTTCCCTTTCTCAAAAAGTCATAGAATTGTTGAAAATTGTTTTATTTTTGTTTTATTCGTATTTTATAAGTGTTAGTACAAATCGATGATAAGCATTGGAATCTTTAATTCACATAATTAAGTGCAGTCGAATTAACCGAGCACAAATTGTATTAACTCTCGATGCCTCTTGGATACCAGAAATTTATACTTTGAAGGGACATCGATATCTACAATTTAATGAAGGATAAAGAAGGGAATATGCTAGCGTACGATAGCTTATTTTCAGTTAAATATAATTTGTTTATTTTAGGACAACGTCATGATCGAATTGCAAGTGGTGTTCCAGCTCCTTTTTGTTCTCGAAGTTGGTGCTGCAGATCAGGCAAAAGCCGCTGTTGTCGTCATTGTCCGACGACATAATCACGGTAACTGCCTGCTCCGATTCGTCCACGTCCACATGCAGCTCCTCCACCACCTGCTGCTCGTCGGCGGGAGCCTCCTCCCTAACGCCGTAGACCAAGTCGCCCTCGTGAGTCTTCATGTGCATCTTGAGGGTGTATCGCTCGGTGAAAGACTTGGGGCACACGGAGCAGTAGTGGCGGGGCCGGTTCTCCTTGTGAATTAGGGTGTGATGGTTAAAGGTCTTTCGTGATTTGAACGACACATTGCATATGCTGCAAATGATGGGGTTTTCCTCAGCTTCGTGCCGCAGACGGTGGTTGTACAGTAAATTGTCCTGCGAGAAGCGAAGTCCGCACTTTTCGCACTGGTACTTCTTCTTGTCCCAGTGCATGCGCATGTGACGCAGTGTGTTTACTGGACGCGAGAAGCTCTTTGGGCAGTAGCGGCACTGCTTTTCTGTCTTGCCCTCATGCACGTTCATGTGCAGTTCAAGGTACTCCTCGTCGCGACGTATTACCCCGCAGATGGGGCAGACATGGTTGGGCTGCTTGGAGTGCTCCTCACTGATGTGCTTCTGGAGCTGATACCACGAATTGTACACCTTTCCGCAGGTGCTGCACTCCTGCTTGACACGTTTTCGCATGGGCTTGTCTTCGCCGTCGCCCTTGGATAAGCTTCCCTCGGGCTCACCCACCTCCACCTCGCAGAGGAATTCATTCTCGTCGTCGTCTTCGTATTCGCGCTTGATCTCGGTATCAGAGTCTTCTTGGTCCTTAACTAGCTCCACGAACAGGGCCTCCGCTTCGGCATCGGCATCCGTGTCCTCCTCCTCCAGGGGCACCTCCTCCTCCTCCTCCACCAGAAGATCCTCGCCGGACTCTGGCAGATCGAAATCCGACTTAAGGGCGTGTTTCAGCTGATTAGTGAGCCGCTTCTGTGTCGTCATCAGATTGACCATAATGGTGTCGTAGTCGGACAGCTCGCTGAAGCAGCGCGGACAAAGGCGGGAATTAGTCTTCACGTCCAGCGGCGAGCCGATGCAGTTGGCCAGGTGCGTGAGCACCAAGGAGACTGTCTTCTGCGACGAGGGCACTTTGGCCGACAGCTTTTCGTAGCGGCTGGTACCAGAGCCTAGCTCGACGGCGCCACAAAAGAAACACGAGTCCATTGCGGCTTGATGTCCAGTATTTTGTTTACAATTCGTGCTTTGCCCGGGGAAATGGATTTTGTGTATAAAATTTAATAGAGTTGGCAAAAAATGTGATATCGAAACTATACCAAAACGCCTGAATGCAACCGTGAGCATTTCCAGGGCTGCAAAGGCGGCGCGATAGTATTTCTGGTATTTTCTCTGCCGGACGTTCCAGCAATTCACAAATTTGGATCTACCAAATATGCCGCTCCGTTCAAAAGCCATTGCAATTTGACATTGAATACCTTTTTATTTATATATTTGGAATTTAATAATTATTTAATAATTTACAATTATTTTTGTGTATTATGTGGTCGGCTAATACTCTTTTTTTGATCTCAGCTACATTCGATATATCGATTACAACTGTCGTTTGTTCTTAAATCTATACAATTATCGGTATCAATGCAATTAATTATTATATATTTACAAAGGGTTTATTGAAGAATTAAGAATCTCTGTAATCTGAAAACTAATCAGGTCGCCCTTGCTGACCATATCCTGCGTATATGTTGAATTTTTGCAGTTTTTTACAAAGGACTCCGATCGGCTTTTTCTGATAAAGGTGCTTCTGCTGCCACAGGGCTCTAAATCTTTGGATGAGATGGAATTGTCTTCCAAGGTATCCTTACAAATAGAATTCCTCAGCTTTGCAAGGACCGAATACAACATCTTGAGGCGCTTAGCAATTCGCTTTGGGTCGATTGAAAAGGCCAAATTGACAACTGCTTTACATTCTCGAAGGATCAGTATGAAATCCTTGTATACCCGCTTGCCATCGTCGCCGAGGACAGAATAATTAGCGGGTAACTGAAAATGATCCACTAACACATTGCCCATCTGAACAATCAACAATAGTTGGTTTTTATCCAGCATTTGTATACTTTCTGCCAGCATATCTAGGTAATTATTAATCAGCGAGCAACTGTCGGTGATCTCGTGGATGATATTGCGGAAGATCGACATCTCTTCATTGAAATGGTCCTCTAGGATTTTGGCGTGAAGTGCGGACGTTAATGATTCCGGCAACTGCAGAGCCGGAACGATACAGGCGTCCAAAGACTCCAAGGAAGCGAGGCAACTGCGCACGACCGTCTTGGTTTTTATATTCTGGGAGAACGCTATGGCCAGCACTCCGATCTGCTGGATGCGATCCATATTGGTGTCGAATGAGCCTATCAGCTCATGGGCAGTAGAAGATCCCGACTGCACTGCTTCCTTTAATTTTGCCACTGATGTGTTTTCAAACTCGATTAGGCCGACGAAAAGCAGGTGCAGGAGGGCCTCATTAAGGTACGATTCCAGGGCATAGAGCGCCCGTTCCAAGGAGAGGGCTTCTAGCTTACGATGACCACGATTAGGATCGCCTTCCTTCTCATGGAATGTTGCGCATTCGCCAAGCAAGGTCTCGCAAAGTGCCGACAAGGCCTTTTTGTCTGTTGAAATTGCAACGTTAGCAAACGCCAACGCATGACGGACAATGTGATTCACTATACTGGCCAGCGGATAGGAATCCTCCAAAAAGCTTTCCTCAAAAATATGTATGGAGTTACTACTTCCTTCAGTCAGTTTTTCCATATATGCATCCAAACGCTCCAACGCCAAATCCATCAGCTCTACGAACGAAGTATCTTCCAGGCACTTTTCGGCATTGTGACTAGTTTCTAGCTGCGTCACGGAGATAAGCAGCCGGCGGATACACCAGTCCAATCGATCGAGAAAATGATGCTTTGTCATCTGCGACGCGTCCAACCTGATTCCCTTTTCTAGATGAGGGATGCAGCAAACCACCTGGTGGAGACACAGGAAGATTGTCTCGACATCTATGTTGTCGCCGCACGGAGCCAATTCCGGCAATTGCGCCTTGAGGTTGGTGGCGAAATCCAGAAAGTTGGCGCAGAACTCGTTCAGCCAGCCAATATTCATGCTGCGGGAACCTTCTGCAATCAGCTCACTGCACGCATTTAACTGAATAAATAATGCATTCATTTTTCAAGGTGTACACTGGCGAGGATGAACGTTTCGACTAAGGAGGCCACACAGCAGACGATGTTCTTATATGTGCAAACTAACAGGTAGACGGTGCACTACGACAGTTGAGAAAAGACATCTGCCTACTTTATTGCCAAAATCCATCGGAGGTAACTCCCATTTTAGAGAATTCCGACTAAATCCCCGATTTTACCTGTTTTGGTTCAAGATAATAAAGTTAGGAGGGAATGGAATTTCCGGGATAATGAGAGATTTAAATTTATGATACATACGGGTGTTTATGTACTTATGCGTACGGATGATAAGTTGCTTATAGATAACTAAACGTAATACTTTAATATAAAGCTGCAGCGGCGGTCTTGTCCTCCTTCACTGCCGGCTGGTGGACGCGCTTGTGCACCTTAAGAGTGTACTTGTCCACAAATGACTTCTCGCAGTCGGGACACGGATAACGCGGTCGATCGGCCTGATGGGTGCGTAAGTGATGCTTGTAGGTGCGCTTAGTCTTAAACTGCTGGTGGCACAGCTCGCAAATCAGAGCATTCTCCTCAGCATCGTGCCGCATTAGGTGGTTGTACATCAACCAGGAGAGCGAGAAACGCTCGCCACATTTATCGCATTGATACTTCTTCTTGTCCCAGTGTACTTCCATGTGACGCAGCACGTTGCGCTTGTGGGAGAACTTCTTGTCACAGTAGCGACACTCCAGTTCCGTCTTACCCTCGTGTAGATTCATGTGCAGGTCTAGAACCTCGTCGTCCTTGACCTTCAGACCGCATATGTTGCAGGTAGTAAACTCATTCTTCTGACAATTGTCAGTCTTGATGTGCCTGTCTAGGATCTCCTGACTGGAGAACATCTCTCCGCAAATGTGGCACGGTATATCCATGTTCTCAAAGAACATCTCCTCAGACGAGGACATGCTGTCCTCCGCCTCCGCCTCGCTAAACCGGAAATCATCATCCAGCATCTCCTCCTTCATGAACTCCTCCTCCTGTACTTCCTCCTCCTTCATGGCCTCCAACATTGCGGCCGAGGACTGTGGAACCTCCACCTGCTTATTTTGCGTGGGATGTAGGATCTGGAAGGCCGGCACTTGGACGCTGGGCTTGGTGACCCGCTTCTTGCCCGTTGGCTTGCAATCGTCTGTGCCCTCTCCTTGACGGCATCCTAGAAGCGCGTCTGCAATCTGACGCTGAACCTGACTGAGGTTCCGCACCAGCCTGTCGTAGTTGAAAAGGTACTCCAGGCAGTCCCGACAGGCGGCTGAGCTGGGTGTGAGGTCCAGGCGCTGGTTTATGATCTTCTCAAAGTATTTCAGTATGTCTTTAATCGGTTTGAAAGTGCCTGGCACTATGCAGCCTATAAAAAATATCAACCATTACATTTTCCCACCAAGAAAGCCCCACGCAGTCCCTACCTTCAATCAACTGGAAGACTCCCACGGACTTGATCTTGCCGCACACAAAGCAAAACGGGCGCGTCGAACTCATTGTCGCAATGGAATTGTTAATATCGAAGCTGGTGCATATAATAAATAAATTTCTGTATATTTTTTACAAATGCTTGCAAATGGGCTCAGCAGTGAGGCCAGACTTGGGAGAATCGATAGTTCGCTGAAAAATACCAGATACCTATGTAGTGCGTATCGATACAGACTGTCGCCTCACTAAAAACATCGTTTATATCGATAGTAATATCGCTGTCTAGTTTTCCATGCCGGCAAAAAAGTTTTCGTTGACTTGACAACAAATTTGTTTTATTGAGCATTAGAAGAAACATTTACCCATCAGGAAACAGCTCTAATACAAAAGGCCAGAATGAAGATCGAGGAAGTAAAAAGCACCGTGCGCACCCAGCGCATTGCCGCCCACAGCCACGTGAAAGGGCTTGGACTGGACGAGGCCGGAGCTGCCCTGCAGAGCGCGGCCGGACTAGTGGGCCAGAAAGCGGCCCGCGAGGCAGCCGGCATCGTGGTAGATCTGATCAAGTCAAAGAAAATGGCCGGTAGAGCCCTGCTGCTGGCTGGCCCGCCGGGTACCGGCAAGACCGCCATCGCCCTGGCCATCGCCCAGGAACTGGGCAACAAGGTGCCCTTCTGCCCTATGGTGGGCTCCGAGGTATTCAGCAACGAGATCAAGAAAACCGAGGTTTTGATGGAGAACTTTCGCCGCTCCATCGGGCTCCGCATCCGCGAGACCAAGGAGGTCTATGAGGGCGAAGTCACGGAACTAACTCCCGTGGAAACCGAGAATCCCATGGGTGGCTATGGCAAAACCATTAGCAACGTGGTCATCGGCCTAAAGACGGCCAAGGGCACCAAACAGCTGAAGCTCGATCCAAGCATCTTCGATGCCTTGCAAAAGGAGAAGGTGGAAGTGGGGGATGTCATATATATAGAGGCTAACAGTGGAGCAGTCAAGCGCCAGGGACGCAGCGACACTTTTGCCACTGAATTCGATCTAGAAACCGAGGAGTACGTGCCTCTGCCCAAAGGCGATGTCCACAAAAAGAAGGAAGTGATCCAGGATGTCACTCTACATGACCTGGATGTGGCCAATGCTCGCCCGCAGGGCGGCCAGGATGTGCTTTCTATGATGGGCCAACTTATGAAACCAAAAAAGACCGAGATTACCGGTGAGATCTTTTTTTTTTTTTGCTGTGTGTATAAATAAGGTGTCCTAATACTTTTAAATTTCTAGACAAACTACGCTTGGAGATCAACAAGGTGGTGAACAAGTACATTGACCAGGGAATAGCAGAGCTAGTTCCAGGTGTCCTTTTCATCGATGAAATTCACATGCTTGACCTGGAGACCTTTACCTATCTGCACAAGTCGCTGGAGTCCCCCATAGCCCCAATTGTGATTTTTGCCACCAACCGCGGACGCTGTGTGATTCGGTAAGAGTTGGCATTTAGGGTAGCATTTCAAGTTCCCCATGTTACGTGCTGTCTTGGCAACTACAAGTCCGTTTGTTTATGGGACAACCACTAGCTCCTTTATAGTACCTGCTTAAATTGGAAGGCCCAAGTTGATAGTTGTCCAAATATTTTACAGTGGCACCACCGACATAATCTCGCCGCATGGCATTCCCCTGGATCTGCTAGATCGCCTTTTGATCATCCGCACGCTACTCTATTCCACCGCCGACATGGAGCAGATCATTAAGCTGCGCGCCCAGACGGAGGGTCTTCAGCTGGAGGAGTCCGCCTTCGGTCGTCTGAGCGAGATTGGAACCAACTCCACGCTGCGCTATGCCGTGCAGCTCTTGACCCCTGCTCACCAGATGTCCAAAGTGAACGGTCGCAGCCAGATCAGCAAGGACGACATCGAGGATGTGCACTCTCTCTTCCTCGACGCCAAGCGCTCCTCGAAGCATCTTTCTGAGAAGAACAATAAGTTTATGTTGTAAGTTTTGTGGTTGCGCCAGTAATTCGCACCAATTATAAAATAGATTATGAATTTGGTCAATGGTTATATTCCATGATAAAATATAATAAAGAGCAAGCTTCGGACTGCTTAAATTATCCTTTCGAAATTTGGCTGAATTCTGTACACCTTTCTGATACTCCTCTGACTACTCTATCCACTATATATGTAGGCAACCGGAGATAATGTTTTAAACATTTATTTAGTACATTTTGAAGGGTTTAAATATACGTTACCTACAAGTTAAGTGTGACCAGGATGCAAAGCAAAGTCTGTTAACGAGCCAAATTTTACTTTGATCTGGCACTTTTGGTCGCTGGGACCGAAAAGTCTGGCAGCACTGTTAGCTGGGACCGAAAAGTCTGGCAGCACTGTTAGCTGGGACCGAAAAGTCTGGCAACGCCGCGGCACGAGCGACCAGCGTTGCCAGACTTTTCGGTCCCAGCGACCAAAAGTGCCAGACTTTGAAGTTCAGAGTGACCAAGGAGAAAATACCGAAATATATCAAACAAAAATATGGCGATTTTGATATTTGGGCAAAAAATATAAAAATAAATATAGTGGGAAAATAGCTAAATTCTGATTAGGTCGTGGGTCGTGTCGCGCTTGATGAGTAAAAAACGAGCTAATAACAAAGTTAATTCGAAATGAACGTGACAAAACCGCTCGGGTGCGCTCTGGCTAATTCGGAATTGCATTGCTAACAGATTTCTCTCTAGAAACCTTTAAATACGAGTGAAACAGCGCGTTTGCCTTCGGAAAAAATTGGGGAACACGTCGCGGAAAGTGCATCAAGTATATACGTAAATATGTATTTCTTCAATTCCTTCGCCCTTCGCGGTGAGTAGTATATACGTATGTATTCGATTCCTTCGCGGCGTAGGCGTCTTCGTCCCCGACCCCCGCCCGTTCCGACAACGCCGGCAGTTGCACTTTAGCGAGCGTCCCTGTGCGCGTGTGGTAATTTCCAACTGTGAATGTGAAATCTAATAAGCAATAGTTGTTGTTGGCGTAGTTAGCTATTACGCATTGTGCTTAATTTCAATGAAACCCACTCCTGGTGGCGAAACCAACCTGAAATGGAAACATTTGGGATCCGTCGGCTGGAGAAGAACCAGCAGCAGCAACAAAAAAACGGCTGCTAGAACCGGGCGCTAGCGAGAGCGAAAGAGAGCGAAGGCAAACAAACGAAACAAGAGAACAAGGTAATGTATGCGTGTGTGTGGGCCGCACCTCCCAATCAGACAGAAAATGTGGCAGAGTGTGGGTGGCTCTTACACTTTTCTTTTGGCATTAACTATTATTATGGTTGGAGTATCAGGAATGCGGGAATTACATAATTTCCGACTGTTTTTCCTCGTCAGTTTGGAGATATCATATCAATTCTGATTGGAATGCGTTTCTTTTATTTATAAAAATTACGCTAATTAATTGCATTGAATGACTTATAAAACATGTGTGAAATTCGCGGAAAGGCTGCAAACAAAAGGGAAAAAGCAATCAACTCCCTCGCTCTGAAAACGAAGAGGAAGAAGAAGCTTTTGCAGCTGCTTCTCGCGATCATATTTGTGGGCCCGTTTCCAAGACATTTTTTATTTGTGCGGTGTTGCGGGCGAAAATTGGTCAGAAAGCATAAACAACACATTTTTATGGAACGCTGCCGGCGGCGCATGCTATGAATTCTTCGCCCACACTCTCTATTTCTCTCGATCGTTGCCAAGATTTTAACCCTAAAGTCTAGTACACTGCTAAAATCGTAGTGTGCTAAAACTCCCCATCTTTCTATTAAACTAGTTTAGGAACTTTTAAAACTTTTTAGTCCGATTTCAAACTATTTAAGTTAGCTTCCTTTCTTTTTATTCCCTTGCAGGGTATTATAGTTTCTTAACGCTTTGATATAATTGTGTGCCCGCCGGAAGGTTGCTCCACTGTGCGTGGGCGGCAGGGCATGGTGGCAACGATTTTTTAAAATACACTTTTCTGGGCTGCCAAACAAAAGCAACAGCCGCGTGTTGCCATTGCTCTGGTCGCAGCTTTGGTGTTTAGTCTCCGGGCCTTTGTGAATGTGCAGTAAACAGCCTTGTAAGCGCCACCCACACAAAGACAGACCACACAAAAATTTGTATAGCCGGCCAGGCGAAGACACCAACACTAACGTTGCGGGCGCTGGCCGTGAGTAAGCGTCTGTGCGAAGCATCTATGACGTGAGTAGAAGCTGGCAACGTTTACCCACGCCTCAAGTCGCGCTTTAGAAGCGTCATTCGCTCAGCTGAGCGCGCCTTTCCCTCTATTCGCTCTTTCTGCGGCTGTCTCTTTCAAGCCAAAGCTTTGTACCCGAGTGCGTGGAGGGGGTTAATTAGCTTAATAAATTAAATACCGTAAATAACACAACATTTGAACAATATTTTAAATATTTAGTTTGGAAAACTATTTACAGAAATAGGATAACTGTCCACAGAAATAAAAAAAACTTGAAATTTTTGCTTTTTTATGATGTTTTTGTAGCATGCAGATTCCCAGAGCTTTACAATATCTTTCAGTTAGGATGTTAATGTTATTAATAGTTAAGCTCGGACTATTGTAGAAGATTTTAAATTCTATGGCTCTATATAGTAGTCTCCCTGTGTACCACGGATTAAAATTCCTCGATTCATTATTCGCTTCATATAGAAGTTTTACCTTATTTGTGTCACAAAATTTCGGTTATTTTTGCATTCGTCCTCCTCTCATTCCACTTGGTTTTTTGGCCTGAGGTTCGGTTTCGTTTGTGGGCATTCGGAGCAATCTATCAATAACAAAAAAGTCGTCGGGCTTTGCCATTTGTGCCTCATCTTCGCCTTCTTCTCACCTCCACTCGCCCGTTCCCTTCCTAACCTTGTGCTAATAAAATATAAAAAAAAACGACAGAAGATGTGCACCGCACATTTGCAATGTTTATAACGCTTGCCATTGTGCATTGAAGGAGCGGGTGTCAACGGGGAAACCTGGTGAAATGGGGAAAATTTAGTGTTTCGAGTAGCACTGGCTAGTTTTTTGGCTAGACAACTCGGTTACGCCTCAGCTGTGCCTCTTGGTGGCGCCGATCACCGGCCTGCAGCGCGCTTCCCACTTAATTTTCCATTTTGTTTTATCTACCTGTCGGTTAGTTGCCGCTGAGCCGATCAACACCCTCTTCTATACAAGAGAGAGTGAATAGAGAAACAGCTGGGTGTGTGGGCAGCGTCAGGTGAGTGGGCCCGTTAAAAGCGCCTCGGTGACTCAACTCGATTTGCTCGGCTGTTTTCATTATCTGCGCTCTCAAAAAAGCCCGCAGTTGATCGGCGTAAAATGCACGGGAAAAAAGGGGTTGTGGTATTCTGAAATATTGTAAAATATTTTCAGTCGTTATTGGTAGCTATAATTACATATAAAGCGGAACTTTACTCTGCATAGAAACCACCGTATTATGTCATATTTAAAAAATAATAATAAATTAGGTTGATCAAATTATTCAGTGTTCAGCCAATAATATGCTGTAAATATTAGCAAGTAAGTGAGCAGCAAACCAGGACTTGCACATTTTTATGTACATTATGTACTTTCTCTTCTTTACCATCCTTTACCACCCATTTCCGGGAGGCCGTCTTTTTCATTAACCTACTAGAGTTTTTCCCCCCTGGTGTAGGTGTGCATGGTTTGCCTAAAAGTCTGCGCCTATCAACGACATTTCAGGGGGCAGGGGGCGCGGCGACTCAATTTACTAATTGCCGCACCTTAACCGCCTTAACCGCCTGCAACAACAACGACAACTGTCGCCCGAAGAGGTGAGAAAGAAGAGCGGCCCTGGGAAAAACGAAAAATACGTTATTCATGCGCTTGGCATGTCGACATTGACGTCGCTTTTTCGTCGTTGCTGTGGCAGACACTTGAAAAAAGTCTTGGGAACTTATGTGATTTTTGATATTCGTACATATGTATATTAAAAACTACATTTAAGCTTTAATTTTATTATTGTGTTATACTTCTCAACCGTCAAAAAGGAACATAATTTATAATTATTGAGTAATTATAAATATGCTTGACAGAATTTTCTTATTTCTTACGATTGTTCTCTTTAAACATTTAAGGAATTTAAGAACAAAATTTACTAATAATCAATGTGAGACGAGGTGTCGTTTTAGGCCAATTGTCTATGTGTACTTCGATGGCGGTTGTCGCTGACGAAGTAATGTGGGTGTTGGGATTCTTTCGGCTTGCCGGCTGCTTGCTTGTTAATTTTAATTAATTTTAATTTGATTAGGTTCAAGTGAATTTTGCTCGGCCAATGCTAACGCGAATGTTTTTGACTTGTTTCTCAATTGTGGTACCCGGTCAGCAGCTGCAGCTCTTCAAATAAATTGAGTTTGTGGGCGGTGCTGGGCACTGGCTGACCTACTTAGCGCATAGCCAAAGACTTGCAGAAATATTTTACTTAAATATTGCAAAAGAAAAATAACTATGCAAGCATTGCTCTGCCCGCAGACGCACAGGAACACAAACAAACAAAAGAACCAGGAAAACAAACACACTCCTCACCGCACTCTTTTCCCCACTCTCTTGAGAATCTTTCACCTGGCAGTCTTTGTGCTTTGTTACCTCGTGAGGTGCCGCTGGGAGCTGGCGTCGACTTGAGTAGGTGCTCCACACGCTCCTCACTTGCTGTCCGCTCCTCCTTCTCCAATGCTATTCTGCAGGCTGCTTATGGGCTTAATGAAATCCACATAAAGACACATAAATTCCTTTTTGAGCTTGAAAGCGGTTCTTCGCATTTGTTGCTGTCGAAAAAGGTACATTTACTTCTGAGAACATCTAGTAATCATGTTGTTTTTAAATATCAGATTATTATTGGAAGTGAAAAATAAAAAAAGGATGCGACGCAAGAAATAATCCTTGCCTTTAACTTCAACTTTGCCGTAGGAGCTTAGTTCAGGATTTCAATTTAATAAATTCTCTCGATCTTCAATCAATACCACCTTTTCAAAATCATGGCACACACCATTTCAGGGGAATGTATGCCTTAAAAGCCATTTCTCCTTGTAGATTTACGAATTTTTGTTCACTTTACTTAGAGAAAGGAAATCCGCCAGCAAGAGCAGTGAATCTTCGGCTCCGAATGGAAAGTGGATTTAATGCATCTTGCCTAGCGGTGAAGCAGAATGCAAGGCGCTCGGATGGGTTTCCTTCTAGGAGATGGTGTGGTGCAGTGAGCTATCGGCATGCTTTTGTTGCCCCCATGTCATTGTTGCGTTTATGAAGCTACATGGAAGCTGCCCTTTCGGCCTCCCTTGGCAACTCACATTTATCAGCGCCTTGTCTAGGCAATTCACTTAAAAAAATACAACATTTTAAATCGTTAGTTAAACTAGGGAGATGGGGCGGCGATGAAGGGAATAAAAGCTCTATGCTTAACATCTGAATCATTTAAAAATTTATTTATTTATTATTATTTTATATATTTATTAAACTTGTTGTGGACTTCTCGAATGGGTTATCTTGAATGGATAACAATGTGATTTTTCTCTCAACCTCACTCTCGATCAACCTCACTCTCTGTCTAGCTACCTATAAATGGAGGCACCTCTGCCGTCGCAGCCTCTGCCTGTACGCGCCTCCCCTCGTCTTCACCTGTCACGTGTGCATCTCAACCCACCTGAATAGCCCCCGAAATAGTGTGACTTCGCTGGAAATGTGCATGTTATTATTATAATCGAGCAAAAATCCCAAGAATCTCTGCAATCGAAGGAATTAATCATCAATGAATCTCAGCCAAGTCTGCGGTTTGAAACTGAAAGAGAACTTGCCGCAAAACCTAAAAGAAAGCTAACTGCGGGAACAGATGGCTCCTTGATTAAATTGATTGATTTATTTTTATTGATTTATTTTTATAGTTCAGGTTATATATATCTATAATAGTACATAAACTGAATATGGTAATACATTTCGAAAGATGGATATAAATGTATAACTGAAATATAGTTTTATTTGAATTTTAAGTTGTTTGATTTACGTTGCCTACTTTTCAGCGGCTCTATGTGGCTTTGTCTCTGAAATTTATCATTTAAATTTTTCAATTTAAATTTTATATCATGCATCAAAGTGCAGGAGTAAATGAGTCCCATTTCTTTTCGTTCCTATGCTACCTTTTCGACATAGCTGCGGGTGTATGTTCTCGCCTGCCTGTGTGAGT